GGGTCAATAGTGTAGCCCGACTAGTCGCCACCGAATTACTCACCCGCTACAAGAACAGCAAGATAATACAAATAATGGGACACGGACTGCGACAGGCGGTTGAGCTGTATGAATATAAGTGCCACCAAGCAGAAGGAGACTGTGAGGCGAGCCAGAGAAAAGGTTTCTTATCTTCCGTCGCCGCTGCGCAGGACGAAGAAGATGAAGTCATGCGTGCCGGAGACGGACTAGGAGGGAATGAGGCGGAGCCGTCTTTGGGAGAAGAAGGCATGTCCGCTTTACAACGGGAAGAGTCCCCGGCATTCAGCCCCCTCCGGGAGGAGACGCCCCCAAAGCGTCACCCGGGGAAGAGGAGAGCGGCAGTACGGGAGGATGAGAGTGATGATGAGGAGGCGTTTGAAGTCGGCCTCAACCACCTCGTCTCTCTCTCCAGATCCGCAGAGGTAGAAGGGAGCATCATGAAGGAGGTGCCAAACACTCATTTGGCATTCCTTCTGGAGCAAATTTCCCTGTCGTGCCAGGCTCTGACTGATCTAAGGAGCTCAGCCGAGCCTCGCAAAAAAAGAAGGAATGATACTACGGAGGAAACAACTGCGACCATGGTCAATGAAGTTGCCGACCAAGTCAAAGTACTCCGTGGTGTCATTGACAAACGGAGGGGCATGGGAGTTCATAGAGAGGTCCAGGAAGCGACAAGGACACTCGAGGCAATACTGGAGAGGGAAAGGAGAAGGGGGCCTTCGTTGAGCNCGTCGTTGAGCGGCGAGGACCATCGGGCCCCATTCGAGGGAAGATTCGGGACACGAGCTCCCGATGGAGCGGCCCTACTTAGGTCGACCAAAGAGGCGGGCACGCAAACTGCGAAGGACTCCTCGGTGACCACGGTTATGATCGGTGGCGACCTGGACACCGAGCCTGCCGTACCGACGAGACCAGGCGCGACTGCGGCGCCCGTCGGCCTGCTTTCCACCACCAAGGTGGCTAAGCGGGTGCGAAAAAGGCGACGCAAGAAGCTGAATCAGAGCGTCGATGGGGGAGGGGAACCTGCCCCAGACTCAGTAATAGTAGAGGCAGCACGCACCCCAGTACCGCTGCCCCAGACCGTGGTAGTGCCTAAGGTTCCACCGCCGGCTGCGTGGTCAGAGGTGGTCCACCGCAAGGCCCCAAATGCGACGGCCAAACCTCGCCCTAATCCCGGGCTTCCTACCTCAGCACGGAGACCTGCTATCAAGGTGAGAGCACCGCGAACTGAAGCCGTTATTATTGGTCCTCTTAAAGAGGACCAAAAATACTCGGCAGTCATTAAAACGGTGATGGAGAAAGTTGATCTCCAGGCGCTGAGCATTGTGGTCTCCGGTACCCGCAGAACCAAGTCAGGAGCAGTGCTCCTGGAGGTTCGAGGTACCGGGGCTCAAGCCGACCTGCTGACCACTAAGATTGTGGAGGCGCTGGACGGCATGGATGTGCGCGTCCATCGTCCGGTGATGATGTGCACATTCATGCTTCTCGATGTAGAGGAGTGGATAGAGGAAGAGGACGTTCAGGGAGCGTTGACCTCTATCATCTCGACCGCGAATGGTGCTTCGGTAGCCGATCCCGTTGTGGTCCGGCTATTTGGTAGCGGGAAAGGCCGGTACGCACGGTGCGAGGTGCCCATCAGAGCTGCGGCTCCACTCGCTGGGCTAACCCGCCTGCTTATTGGCTGGACGTCGTGTAGAGTGCGTCTCTTACATGACAAAGGACCGCGCTGTTATAGATGTTTGGAGCGGGGCCATGTGCAGGGTACTTGCAAGGGCCCAAACCTTACTGGCGCATGCTTCGCATGTAAAGGGATGGGCCATGTGGCAAAGGACTACCCCGGCAAGGGCAAAGAGGCCTGAAAGTCAGGTTCTGTGATTTTGTGACTGTCTGTTGTGAGTTTTACTTGTCCCAACCATAGCAAAGTCCTACCCCCACCTCCACGTGGTGCGGCCTGGGCAACGGATCCCACTCTGGGTCCGGCTAACGGGGGAGGCCACACTACGTTGTGAATCAGCTCTTAATTAATTTCGGGCTGATTCACAACGTGGTGGTGTCAATTTTTAGACGGCGTGAGCCGCCCTGAAGCAATACCTCGCGGTAGTTCCAGGGCGGTCCACAGCATGCCGGCGGTGTATAAAAAAAAAAAAAAAAAATCCGACGAGGTGCTGTCAGCGGGATTGGATCTTGCCAGGGAGCAGGCGGGGCAACTCGGTGACGTCATGATGGCGTCTCGGGCCCGAGAATCAGACCCGTTACGGACGGCGTCCCGCAAGGGTCAGTTCTCGGGCCTCTGCTGTGGATCATCGTGTACGACGCGGTGTTCCGCGTTCCACTACCACCGCACGTGTGCGTTGTCTGCTACGCGGACGACACGCTGGTGGTGGCGGAAGGTGCCTCGTCCGAGGAGACTGGATCTCGTTCGAACTGCGCGCTCAGCGCAGTCATCACCTGGATCCAGCAGGAGAGGAGTGGACTGAGCCCTGCCCTGGACAAGACTGAAACAGGATTGTTCACGGGCGGGTATAAGTTCATTCCTCCACTGCTCGCCGTGCTGGGGGTAGAGATCCCGCTTAAGGACTCCATGACTTATCTGGGCCTTGTCATAGACAAGCGTCTACAGTTCGGGCCACACATTACTCATGCGGCCCAGCGGGCTCAGAAAGCCATGAATAGCCTGACGGGACTCATACCCAATCTAGAAGGGCCGAGGGAGATGCGACGTAGACTTTTAGTCAGCGTCGCACACTCTGACCTCCTGTACGGGTCCCCGGTTTGGGCGGATACTCTTGAATATTCGTTAAAATACCGTGAAGCCCAGCTCAGGGTGCAGAGGCGGGGGGCGATCCGGACAGTTTCGGCGTACCGAACGAATCCTGTCGTCACAACCGCCCGCCGACCTGTTCGCCGAGGAACGCGCCGCCAGCCATAAGCTCCGCTGAGAATGCGGCCGGTCCCTCGAAACCGAGGACCGGCTGGCGCTCAGGCGGATGACCATGCTCCGGTGGCGGACTCGCCTCTCGGAGGAAACCAGAGTGGACCAGGTCCCTCATAGGACCCGATCGGCTGGACCGGACTCACGGTGAGATGACTTATTGTCTCACCCAAGTGATATCCAGCCACGGCTGATTTAACGAGTACTTGCATCGTATTCGTAAAGCAGCCGCGCCGACGTGCGACCACTGTTCGGATCGCCTGGGAGAAGCTGATAGCGCTTTGCACACCCTCTTCCTATGCGAGGCGTTGGCTCAAAAGCGGGACTCTTTGGAGTCCCGACTAGGGTCAACGTTCCGAGTCGGGTCCATGGTGGACCTGATGTTGGTTAGCTGGGAAGTGCGATTGCTCGTCCAGACGTTCGTTGAATCCGTCTTGAAAAAGGAGGAAGCGGAACGCCTGAGACAGAGGCAGCCACGCCGACCACCACATGAGGACCTAAGGCGCTATTTTAGGCCGGTGCCTTAGGTTCTTATTTTTGTGTTTTATGTTTTGTTTTGTGAGTTATTTTGTCAACACTCCTAACGGTTCCTATTCTGGGATTCGGTTAATGGGAGGGGGCTACACCACGTTGCGAAACAGCTCTTGATTAATTTCGGGCTGATTCACAACGTGGTGGTGTGAATTATTAAGAGGGCGTGGGCCGCCCTGAAGTAATGCCTAACGACAGTTCCTAGGCGACTTACAACAATGCCGAACGTGTTTAAAAAAAAAGGTTTGTGTTAATGCATTTACGACCTCAGATTTCGCTGTGCCGACAAATTTAGTGCTATATCCGACAAAGTTAATTCGGTCTCTCTTGTTTCTATTAGTGTATGATTTGGGGATAAGCGATATTATTCTTTTTGCTTTTCTTTTGTAAACCTTGATATTTTGATCAATACAAGTGAACACATAAATTTTTCATAAGCTTTATTCATGACGATAAATGTAATTACTAGAGAAATACAAGGAGAAGTGTCCTGGTGCATGTTGTTCGCTAACGAAATAGTGTTAATAGGAGAAAATTAATCCAAGGTTAGTGGTGTAGATCAGTATTTGAATAAAAGGGCTTCAGAATATGTAGGAGTAAGACAAAGTATATAGAGTACGAATTTGATAAACACGAGGTAGGTGAAATGAGTAGATCTGTGACAAGAAGGTAACAGGAAAGGTGGAAAGTTTTGAATATTTAGGGTCAGTTTTGCAAAAGAATGGTGGTAGTGACGAGGATGTAAGTCAAAGGATTAAGTGCAGGCTGTTGAAGTGGAGAGAAGCGTCTGGTGTGTTATGCGATAAAAGAATTCTAATGAGACTGAAAGGTAAGTTCTATGAGACTGTAGTGAGATCAGCTATGATGTATGGTTCAGTGTTGGGCTGTTGACAAGAAAGTAGAACAGATAATAAGAGTAGCAGAGATGAGAATGGATAAGTGGAGTGACTAGAGAACGAACTAAGAAGTAACTATCAAGAAACGAACATATAAGGAGTTTAGGTGTTGCGTTAATTGTGAATAAGATGAGAGAAAATAGACTTTGATGGTTCGGTTTGTTATGAGGATAGAGGAATTGGAAGCTGTAAGAACAGTTATAGATTAGGATAAGATGAGAGTCACCGACCCTAAGTTGGGATTAATGCGAGAAAAAAGAAGAATAAGATGATAGATACAGTGAGCTACTTAAAATTAATTTTTTTTAAGTCATCATGCTTTTTTATTATAAACCAAGTTTGACGTACATAAATTTGAAAAACTCTTAGTTTTATAATTATTTCAAGTTTAAGAAAATATTTGTGTACTATAGAATACACATGTAGTTCAATCACACCAGTTATACAAATTTCTACAACTACTTTCTATTTTATAAATATATGATGTATATAAATAATTTACATAAAATAAATTATAGAATGTTTCTAGGAATTTAAATAAAATCAATATTATTATAATAACTTAAAAATTATGCTTGATGTAATTTTAATAAAATTATAACTCAACATTTGAAGCAATTTAATATAGTAAAAAATGTTTATTAAAAAAAAATAATTAAGATATAATGAACATATGTAAATAAAATGTAAATTTAGGACGAAACATATAAAAAACTAATTTATAAATATTTGATATATATATGTATAATATACAAATTCAGTTATAATAACTTTGGTTGTTGTTTAAGTTCCGTTACATTGAGTATTTTTGATTGAACTTTATTTTTTCGAGATGACTTTTTCTTTTTTGTCAAAGATTCTTTTGATAATTCCGGGATCATCTCTAAATTAAAAATAAAATATTAAAGATTATTCCATAACAAAAATAAATTTAGAAAGTATTTTACCTGAGTTATTTTTGCTTTGGGGTTTTATTAATTGGTAACGTTCCATGTATTGTAATGTAGCAAATGAGAAATTATTGGTAGATCGTATGTTAGGCTGTGACACAGGCACAAAATGTTTGTTCATATCAACTATAATTAAAATTTAATAAGAATGCAGAACAATTTTTTTATAGACATTTTATCTATTATTTTTTGTAAAAATTAAGACAAAACTATGAACTACAACTTTATACTAAGTATTTCAGAAATATTAATAAAAAAACTTCAAGAATTTAAATTCCTTTTTTTGCATATACACAAAAATAAACCTCTTAGATATAAATTGTTTTATACTAGAATAAATTCAAATCATAAATTTCATATTAAATATTTAGGTTCTTTTTACTTTTTAAAACATATTATATATATATATATATATAATGGCTTTTAAATAATTTTTACATATTTCTTTTATTTTTTAAGATTTAAATTCTCTATCTTACTTATTTCATTATCACAATAAAATCAACTAACCATGACCCTGGTGCTAAGTTAACTAAGAACATTATAATATGAACATATAATGTAAAACCCATCTATTTTGTCACACTCTCGAGATTAGGTTTATCATGTAACATATTGTTTGAATTAAATTTCTAGCTAGACATTGTTTATTTATTATATATTTTAAGTTATTCTAAGTATCTCAAGTATATTTTCAATAAAATATTACATAACCAAAATAAAAAATATTAAGAAACTATTTATAAAATTTACCAAAGTAAGAAACCTAGAAAATAAGTAATTTTAATTGAACACCTTATATATGTATAAAATTTTAAATTAAGTTCCAGTGCAAACACCGGTTATCTCCATATTAATAAATTATTCAGGAAACACTAGAAACTAAATAATTTTAGTAATGAATTCTAAATATTAGATACTACTTTTATAATTGTTTTTCTAAAGGATTATTATGCATGGTAATCAGTGTTTATTATACTTGATCCTTAAAATATAAAGATATTTATTTAGAAATAGTTTTTTCCTTTATAAAGCACAAATTATTTAAAAATCTAAATAGTAAATAGTAAAATTGACAATATGGATAGATTAATTAACCAATTTTATTTAAGAAATATACTAACATTTTATAGCTTGTTCAGGTGATAAATATTGCATTGCTAATGCTTGCATCTGTAAACTAGAGTCCATTTCACCGTTTTTTGTTAACATGAACTTTTTATAAGATTCAAAATCTCTAAAACAAAATAATTATTTATATCAATGATTTAAATAAAAGCATTAAATTTATTTTAGTATTAATAGTTATATAATATAATAAAACACTGAATCCAGAATGTAAAAAGTCACAAAAGAGTAGAGCCCATTTAGATCACTTCTTAGTTACTCCAATTAAAATTAACAAGGCAATGGACCCGAATGCTTAAAACATAATAAAACTGAAAGGATGAGAGAATCGTAAGAAATTACAAAAAAAAAAAATGGAAAACTAAGAACCATTATTAAATAACAATGGAAGAAACTATTTGACTTGAAACCAGAAGAAAACATAATAAATGGTTCAATGATAACTAAAAATAAAAAACATTAAAGAGGAATACCTAGTTATCCACAACTTTTTTTGAAATAACATACAAGCTAACAAAAACATGAACCAAGTACAATAATAATAAAGTATAACAATAACAAAAGAAAAAATGATTTTTGAAGAATTCGGAGAAGCATTTAAACAGTTAAAGTTACTGTTGAAAAAAAGTAAAAAAATAACTTAATATTGTATGAATAAGAGACTTTGCTTATGACCCAAGGAAATAAAAATAGACTACCTTTCATGGAATGAAAATTCCTCAAAATGATTTACGGACCAAAAAGAAACGAAGACCAAACAAACAGAACTAAATTTAACAAAGAAATACAGGAAAAATTAAACATAATAGCTGAGATACGACACAAGAGATTCAGTTGGCTTGAATATGTACTAAGGGCTAAATCAATAGCAGATGATGTAGTAAACTGGATTTCTCAGAGGAAAATATCGATTGAAAGACCAAACCAGAGATGAGTGGACAAAAGTAAAAAGGAACTATAACAACAAGTAAACATCTATAAAGCAACTCTGAAGAGAGAGATTGAAAAAAGTTTATTTTGTAGCCACTAACCAAAATAACTCCTAAAGCTGTAAGAAGTTTAATAATTATTAAAAGTATTACTCACATTGGTTTAGAAACTACAGGTTTTACAGTTTCTGTTGATTTTATTGTTTCAGAATTAGCTTCACTTTTATCACCTAACAAATTATTTACTTGGCCCTAAGTAGTAAATACATTTTATGAATAAACTAAGATTTATGTTAAAATAATATTTTGATTATCAATTTTATTTGAAACTTACAAGGATATTATTGTACATTGTCCAACCTACTTCAATTTTTTTATCATTCTGCTCTTCAGTTTCACTTAAGTATTAAAACATTTTAATAAGCATAAAATTAATTTTATTTAAATTTTTTTTGAATTTTATAAAAAGATACCTGCTACTACTACTCTCATCAGATGACAAATTCATTTCAATATGAATTGATGGTTCAGGTGACATTGGAATTTCATTTATTTTAACATCATTTGCATTTAACTCGAATGATTCATCACTAGTTAATAAGTATCAATAATAAAATATTTTTATTAATTTGATTAAATAATCAATAATGATGAAATATCGATAGATTTTTTTTTTATCTTGAAATCATATAAGTATATATGTTAGACCAGTGGTCGGCAACCTTTTTTAATTCTCGGGCCACATTTACAAATTAAAAAGAGTTCGCGGGCCAGATAAAAAAAAAAAATTTATAATTACATTATTTATTATGCAAAAAAATACTATCTAAAACTTAAAATAATAATATGACTTATATAAAATACCCGTACCAAAAACGCAACGTTCAATTATATTTATACAAAATGATATTCAATTAAATTAGTCGATTTAGAATTTAAAGCGGGCCGTATTCAATAGCCACGCGGGCCGTATCCGGCCCGCGGGCCGCCGGTTGCCGACCACTGTGTTAGACAATTGAATATTTTCGAGATATAAGATAATATAATTACCTATGAATAGAATTTGCCTTTTCTTCTTCTCTACATAGTTCTTTTTCATTGTCACATTTGGAAATTTTTTTATTTTTATTCATTTCATTAATATTATGGTCTGATGAATGATACGGCTTTGGACTATTATTGGTATCATTAAATTTTTTAGTACTTTCATTTATTTTAAATACATTCTGTGTTTTTTCATTTTGTTTTAAATTGATGGCTTTTGAAGAAATATCAGATTTATCTGAGTTATCTTGTGGAGATTCATTTTTTTGAAATATTTTCTCATTTTTTTCACAGTTTTCATGATTAAAAGGACAACATTTGTGAGAAGTTTGTTGATTAGTCAATATGTTTGCTAATAACTTTTGAATTGTCTCTAATAGAAACTTAATTTGATCATTTTGCATTTGCATCATTGTATATATATCTTTCACAGTAATATTGTTTTGAAATGAACATTTATGACATTCTCTTTCTGGTTTGTAAGTTGTTTTTTGATCATTAGGCATTCGATTGTATGCATATTGGTTATAATCACTAAAAGATGATGTTGCGTAGTAAGGGTTCTCATGTGAATTATAGTAATGATTTTGTTTAAAGACAGGCGAATGGGCCTGTCGACTCTTCCATTCGTTATATGTTTCTTGTTTAGTTTGACTGGAAACTAATTTAGGATTGTTCTTCAAGTTATCATTATCAAAAACAAGAGATAATTCTGGAACCTCAGGCCTAGCAGTTATCTCCTAAAATATTAAGAGGCCAATTACCATATATATATTATTTAATAATTATTCGTTAGAAATAGAATATAAACAATTTATAAAATATAATTTATATTACTTGAAACTGTGTGGGTTTGGGCACAGGACGAGGTTCAATTTCATCGTAACGACGGTTCGAATACATTTTCTACAATACTCTACGTATTACAACATGAGAGATGAGCTGAAAATCATTGCGCGGGAAACGCATTAAAATGAGCTTAAATTACTGTTACGACCTCTGTTGAGTGATTTATAATATTGAGTGATACCACAATAGATTAAATACATTTAATCTATGATACCACAGATAAGATAAAACCAGATAGTTCACTTTGGAATTTACTGATAACACAATAACTCAAAGTTGTTTTAATACAGTATCAGCACATACAAGGACTTAAATTATTGTACAGCATCATTTACTATAATTATTGTATCAAATAATTGGTTATGCATGTATAAATATTAATGGTATTTTAAATAAATAGCAAAAATTTGAATCTCCATGACACATTTTTAAAAATATTTTATTTATTTATGATACCCTTAAAGGGTAATAGAACGCAGTTATAAATTAGTAAATAGAAATTTATATATATATACATAACATATGGTTACATGAATAATAGTAATACAAAACAAAGTATTCTTATAATCCTAGTCTATATTATTTATTTGAAAACATAAAAACCGAAGTTTAGACTACTGTCGTGATTGAAATTAAATTCGAGTTTATTACAAGAACTATTCAAGACCTTCTCAGCTTAACTATTTTCACTATGAAAACAAGCTAAAGTGCGAAATTTTTTTTCCCATAATAAAGTACATTACATTATCTATAATTTAAGTTATATATAAAAGAGTTTTCGTAACACTTTCAAAATTTAAGTTGAAAAAGTTAATGTTTTGTGAAAAAGTTGTAATTTTAAATCCCTCCTTGTGGACAGGCAAGGGGTCAGATTTATAAAAAAAAAATATACCAAATGATAGGTAAAGAAGTCAACTGTTACTGTAAGTTTCTGATCAAAAAAGTTACCATGAAAATTAAGTTTTTTTTAGTAAATTGTAAAATCCAAATACTCTATTTAAAATATTTATTTTTAAGTTTAATTAATTGATCAAATAATTTGATTAACATTGAAAGTTTACCGATTCAATTATAAAGTAAATACAATTTTCGGCTTAAATATTTTCGATGACTACATTTTTATGTAATACATTTCTGTTAATATACTATTCGATTAAAATACGGTTCGGCTAAAACACTATTCGACAAAAATACGATTCGATCAATTTATTTTTCGGCTGAAATAATTTTCGGCCAAAATACGGTTTGATAGTAATATTTCCGACTATACTACGCACTCCCTTTGGAGTGACCATACTGATATTATCTGTTCTGTGGTTAGATTTTAGTTTTTTCACAGATTATATGAAATTATTAGTTTCATATAATCTGTGTTTTTTGCGACTGTTATTCAAGCGAGTTGACATTTCTCTATTGCGGGAGAAACAAATTGGTAAGAAAAAAAATCGTTTAAATGTGTAAAAGTATTATTTGTAATTAGTTATTAATTACATAATAAGATTCTGCTTGGTTTTTAACTGAACTTTTTTATGATATGTTAAATAAATTGCTAATTTAATAAGTAACATTTTGAGTTAAAAAAATATAAAAGGTAATTATATAAAACTTATCTATATTTGACAACCCATTGACAATCATATAACATTAATTTTTTTATTTAAATTTTTATACCTAAATTACTAAATTCTAATGTTTCAGGTATAATATGTCTATTTATATCAATCGGAATATTACCCATAATAGTCCAAATACTGGTAGTCGTAAAATTTCAGGGGATGAAAATGATTCTCCTTTACAAGTTTTTGTACAAGCTAAAAAACATATAAATATTGTTTTCAGTAATATTCAGTCATATGTTATTGATGCTTCTGAGCGTATAACTGGTGAGTTGATCATATATTTTCTATAGAGTTTAATATAAAATATCAATTTTTCAGATGTTAGTACAAAATGTCCAGATCTAGTTACTGAAAATGAACTTTCGTCAATACTTGATTACACTTACAAATTGAAAGGAATTCATGAAGTTTTAGCTCGCAATCATATGAAAGTTGCTTTCTTTGGAAGGTATTAGAAAAACAAATTTCAATTTAAAAAAGCATTATTCTTTAATTAAAATAGAAAAAACTTTATATTCATTTGAAACACAGTAAAAAAATACTTCTTGCTAATAAGTTATAGTGATAGGTTATACTAATATTTAATAGATAATTTAATATGTGTAAATATCATGTTCTTGAGAAAAAAATGTAAAACCAAATCGCTTTAAATTTCTATTGTGTATTAATTAGATTTTCAAACTGAACTGATACATATTTCTACTAAACTAATTTAATAATTTTTCAAAAAGAAAAAAAAAGTTATTGATTAAAAATTAAAGTAAAAAGTCATTGAAAATTCTCAATTTTATTTTTTAAATTTTTAACTTTATAATGCTATTATTATATATATATATATATATATATATAATAATAGCATTATAAAGTTAAAAATTTAAAAAATAAAATTGAGAATTTTCAATGACTTTTTACTTTAATTTTTAATCAATAACTTTTTTTTTCTTTTTGAAAAANTAGGATATAAATAAGGAAATAGCAGATCATGTAGCTTTTGGAATAATTCACCAATATTTTAAAATTAAACACTATCTAAAGATTTGCATCGAAATATATTTTTAATGATAGCGATTTTAATCACTGTCAGGTATCATTATACTTGATTTTTTTATGTCTGTCATCACTTTTCTCAGATGTCATTGGACTGATTTTTTTCAACGATACGTTTAAATGATCACTAATTATATTTAGTTAAAGACTTTACCCTCGAAAATTGAAAAAATTTCTTTCGTTCTACACTTTATATCACTTTCAAAGGTGTACTGGCGATTTATTCTTTAATTTCGGTTTTTAATTCATCAATATTTCAAGGATCTATGCATAGATTTTACTTTTTAAATATTCACACAAAAAGATATCACATACTGATAAATCAGGTGATCGAGGTGGCCAATGAATATTACCACTTTTAGAAATAATGCGATTTCTAAAAATTTGTTAAATAGCATTAATTGATACTCAGGGCGTGTGAGATATTGTGCCATCTTGTTTAAACCAAAAGTTATCATTTTGAGGAAACTTTTTTAGTTCAATGACCAAAAAATTATTGATCATATTGACATAACATGAGTATGAAATGAACGCTGTGCAGCTATGTAACTCATTATTTTTGTAAAAACGATTTTATTGCATAAGAACGTTGTTCACCACTCCACTCTTCCATGTTTACTAAATGGCATGTTGTCTTTGATCTAATAATATTTAATGAGAATTCTTATTTTAATTACTATTTTTAAAATCAGCTGTTTCAGTGCCCAACCCTGTAGTTTATTTATTTTAATACTCAACTTTTACTTTTCAAATCAGGACCAGCAATGGAAAAAGTACAGTCATAAATGCTATGTTGGGGGATAAAGTTCTACCAAGTGGTATTGGCCACACAACCAATTGTTTTCTTCAAGTAGAAGGCTCTCAAACGGGTGAAGCCTATTTAATTACTGAAGGAAGTGAGGAAAAACAAAATGTTGAAGTAAATCTATGAGAATTAAAAATAGTTTTTTCTTAGTGGCTTAAAGTTATTTTTCATTAACAATTTTTTTATTTTAGTCTATAAGTCATTTAGCTCATGCATTAAATCATGAAAAACAATTGAATGAAAATGAATTAGTACACATATACTGGCCTAAAGATAAGTGTGGTTTATTAAGAGATGATGTTGCATTAGTAGATTCTCCAGGTGTAGATGTAACACCACATTTAGATGATTGGATTGATGCTCATTGTATTGACGCTGATGTTTTTGTTTTGGTTGCAAATGCTGAATCTACCCTAATGGTTACTGTAAGTAAAAATTCTTGTTATCAAATTTATTCATAAATATTAAATTAAATTAAAATGTATATATTAATTTTAAGCTATACAATGTTGTATATTTTTAAGAAAATCGTATTATATAATAGAACAAGGAAAATATGCTTTTCTGGGAAAAATACTTAGTCTGTTCCGCTTTACAATGATTTCTTTTAATGAAAGTACTCAATTACATGACTTAGACGAAATTATTGACAAAGTTTGAACATTTTTCTCACTCATCTGCAAGCATTTTTTATTTTTGATAGTTTTCAAGAAAAGTGCTTGTCTATCCTAGAATTTTGCGACTTAAGATCAAAAGTTTTCCCAAATTCGCCCAGAGACATTTCTGAGTTGTCATGAAAAAATTAATTTGTTCCGTTTACTTTTTACTGTTCTGCGAGCATACTTGTGTTTATTGTATGTTTCTTATAATTATTGTGTATGTATGGATATTAAGTATTATTTTTTTAAATTTATTAAATTTAATGTTTTGTAAATTCCAGTAACCCAAATTGTAAATATACTAAATCATTTTTTCTATATGTACATGCTTTTAAATTAATTTTTTTTGTGAATTCTGTGTTAAAATTTGATGTATTTATTTTAGCTTGTGAAGCTGAGAAGGTATTAATTTCACTATGATTGTTTTTTCATATATCTCAGTAATTGCTTTGCTCTGATTATGTTCATTAAGTCATTAATGACATTTTCAATAAAATTAAGTTAAATTAAAAATATACTGATTTGTCTTTATGTAATTATGTATGTTTTGTAAATTATAAATTTCTTTTTTTTCACTTTATATTATTGGGTTTTAAAGTAAAATGTATATTAGTTAAAAAATTTTTAAATTTGCTATTATAAAAAATATGGAATCTGAATAAATAAGTATAATAGTTGACTCTAATGAAGATAGTTAGTTAAAAAAGGGAATAGTTTTAATAAAAGAATTGAATCATATCTATTCATATCTACGATGTACATAAACAATCAATATTTACAGATATTATTATTTAGATTATTTTATTTTTCTTAGTCATAAAATAATGTACATTTCCTCCATAAAACTCATTTGAAATTTTAGTTATTTTTTTGAGGTTAAATTTTCATGATTATTTTAATAATGAATTACCAATTTTGTAATGTAATTATGTAAAGTATTGAAAATCAATTTATCTCGATAAAATATCCAAAACTGTCGAAGTGATGTCAAACAAAATATCATTGAATTACCCTAATAAATATACATATAATATATTTAAACATCTATGGCTACTAAAAACTTATATAACTTTTGATACAATTAATGTTCTCACTGTACAATATCACAACTGCTTAATTCTCCTATCATTTAGTTAATGTGTGCTACTAATGCTGACACCATCTTATAGCTCTTACAGTTAAAAAACCAATCATTATATTAATATGATAAACTTATATAAATTCAATCAACTCACATTATAACAAACTGCAAGGGTAATAGTTTGTTATTTAAGAGCAAGACGAACAAAATTTGTACAAGATTATATTATAAATGAACATGCATTAAATTGATATTCATTTCATTAAAATAAAATAAAAATGGTAAACTTTATTTGAAAAACAAATATATATATATATGTATATTTGATGTTCTTGTTCTGACAAATCTTATAACTGTAGAGAAACATTTATATCTTATTTAAGTAAAATAAAAAACCAAAATATCTTATTTAAAAATTATGGTATCGTACCATTGTCATTTAAGTATAACTTATTAATATTTTAAAACTTTTTTGTGTTAATTTACATTTAAATCAATAATCATTTTTAGTAGATTAAATATTAAGTTTGCAAAAAAGAAAGGTATTTTAAGACTTACAGGAAATCCTATCAAAATATATTATTAATGTTAATATTCTATAAGTTTTATGATTGTGTTATTATTATAATTTTGAATTTTTTTTAGGAAAAAAAGTTTTTCCACAATGTTTCTAAAAAATTATCAAAGCCTAATATTTTTATTTTACATAATCGTTGGGATGCATCAGCAAATGAACCAGAATTTTTAAATGAGGTAATGATAATTTATATAATTTTAGTTTGAAATTTTAAACTTTTGTTTATGTATGTTGTCTGTCTCTCATTTTTATCAGTTTAATAATCAAGAACAAGTAAGTGTAGATTGTATGTATTCTTTAAGCTACAAATAATTTATTTATTAAATTTTTTTTTTGTAAAGCAAGTTATTATAAAAGTAATTATTAAGTCTTAATTTAATAGATCATAATATCTCAAGTTAAAAATAAATAATTAAATATTTGTAGTTTAACTGTTAATGCTTTCTTTAAATTTTTTTATTATGTAATTATAATTATGATGATTTTTGGGCTGGAAATACGTTTATTTTTAAATTTAGTTTTAAAAATAAAATCATTACATTATTTGTAGGTACGTAAACAACATACAGAGCGTGCTACTGACTTTTTAGTAAAAGAATTAAAAGTTTGTACAGCTGCTGAAGCACCTTCTAGAATATTTTTTATTTCCGCTAAAGAAGTTTTACAAGCTCGTTTACAACAACGCAAAGGATTATCTGCTAGCAATGGAGACTTAGCTAATGATTTTAAATCAAGATATATGGAATTTGAAAAATTTGAGAGACTCTTTGAAGAATGTATTTCAAAATCAGCTATCAAAACAAAATTTATGAATCATTCACAACAAGGAAAAGATGTTGTCAAGTAAGATAACTTTAAACAATTTACTTAGTTTTATATTTTGGTAACTTTATTATGATTTGTTTTTCAATACGTAATAGAAATTTTTACATATATTTTATATTACTAATAAATTAATTCACATCTAATGATAACGTCTTTAGAGAAATGTTCAAAATTATGGATGCAATTCACAATAGAAGTAAAGAACAAATTAAATCTAAAATATACCAAAAAGAAGAGTTCCAAGAGAAACTTACGCTTATAACTCAGCAACTTACTAGTATAACCAATCAAATGAAAATGAAAATTAATAGTATGGTATATGATGTAGAAAAAAAAGTTAGTATAATTGAAAATAATTTTTTTTAATGCATATGTTTTAATAGAAATTATAAATTATAGGTTTCCACTGCTTTGAGTGATGAAATTCGTCGATTGTCTATTTTAGTTGATGAGTTTAATTTACCTTTTCATTCAGATCCATTAGTTTTAAACGTTTATAAAAAAGAATTGAATAATTATATTGAAAAAGGTCTTGGTAGTAATTTAAGAGCCAAATTGTCTACGGCTTTGGCAATGAACATGGAACAAAGCCAAAGGGACATGGTTGAAAAAGTTTCTAAATTATTACCAGAAAATATATCTGTAGTAAATCCTCAATTAGAACCATTTGAAGTATTTTATCATCTTAACTGTGATAATTTATGTGGCGATTTTCATGAACACCTGGAATTTAAATTTTCTTGGGGTTTATCTTCATTAGTAAGAAGAGTATCATCTTTAGCAACAAAAAATTCACTAAAGTCAAGAACACTGGTAATTTTTTTAATCCATTACTTTAATAAAAAATTCTTACTTATTTATAAAAATTTTACATAAACTTTTAGTCATCTCCCACTAATAACCAGTCTACTAATCATTTAGACCAGTCATTAAATGACTACAATAGTCATCAGTCTGTAGTTGAAGAAAATTTGCCAATGATATCTCGTTTATTAGCTGCATCATTAGGTACTCAAGGTACTATGGGTGGTCTTATATTAGCTGCATTTGTGAGTTATTTTTATTTTCAAATTTCTAAAACTTATATGTATTCCAAATGTAACTGTTATATTTTGAGCTTAACAATTTTTTTAAGATGTTGAAAACTGTTGGTTGGCGTTTAATTGTAACAACAGGAACTATTTATGGATGTCTTTATCTATATGAAAAATTATCTTGGACAACTAAAGCAAAAGAAAGAGAGTTTAAAAGACAGTATGTCGAACATGCTACCAGTAAACTTCGTTTGATTATTGATGTAACATCAGCAAACTGTAGTCATCAAGTTCAACAACAATTATCAACTACTTTTGCAAGATTAAGTAAACATGTGGATGAATCTGCTAGTGATCTGAATGAACAATTGGAACTTCTAGATCAAGAATTACAATCTTTAGTTCAGTCAACTGAAATATCGAAAATTTTGAAGGAAAAAGCAGAGTTTTTGAAAGAAAATTTGAAAAACTTTGATAAGGATTTTTTTGTTAACTAGTCAGAATTTTTTTTTTTTAATTTAAACTTAATGAACAGTGTTAATAATTGTTTTATAATAAATATTTTTTATAAAATATTATTTATTATAGTGTCTGAAAATCTATGACTATTTTAGCTAATAATTAGTAGAAGTACTTTTTTATCATTAAATAGTTATAATTGTTTGACGTTTCTTATCTCTTCTTTTTGTTGTTATTAATGTCCATAAATTATGAATTGTAATTCAATTTTTGAATGCCTTATTTTATACTTAAAGGCTTATAATCTAAAATAAAATTTAACTAAATTCAATTACCATGTATAATAGAAATATTTTTAATGTTACTTTTTTTATACATAAGATCTTCAGATGTTTTCCAAAATCAAATATTTAGAAGAATGAAGAATTCTAGATGAACATTGTGAGTCATGTCTATTACATAGGTTCAATTTACTACTTATTTAAATGAGGATTTTTTATAAAAATATAAATATAAATGCTTCAAATTTATAGGTTAACTTATGATATCAGTGATTCTTTCAGGTATTTCTCCAAGAACTCGTACTCCTTCCAGTAAATGTCTAAACCATCTTTGGAGAAAATTGCCCAAAAGAAACACTAATGCTGCATCTAAAAGAATATTATCAATAAACTAACATAAAATAAAATAAAAATAAAATAATTGTATTATAATTTTAGTACAACACGTTGAAAGAGTATTTCAGTTCTGAATAAAATTTATAATAATAATAATACATTTTAATAAGATTCTAAAAAGAAGTGTAATAAAACTACAATTTGTTTTATGACAAAATATTATAAATGAGGACTACAACTTACTAATGCGAAAGATATAACAAGTTGTAATTCTAAATTATAAATTGTATACAATTAAAATTTTAGATAAAAAAAATCACAGCATTGGTTTAAATCATTAACATAACATATTTTGTTAACAATTTGAATATATCTTAGAATTAATTAGATAACATAACGTAATTATTACAAATTATTTTCAATAATCTACCAACTAAAAATAACGAGTATAACTTCTAAATAAAGTTTTCATAAAATGTCGTATCCTTTTTGTTGTTTAATTAAAGAAAGCAATTTACAAATAGATTATAAAAGTATTCATTCACTTAAATATTTGTTTACATAAGTACTTAAGAAATGTAACCTATTGTAATACAACCAAGAGAAAATTAGGCGATTTATGAACTATATACACCATTAGCATATTCTAAAATATATATTAATTTACTTTTTATAACTATTTAAATAATTAATATACTTTGAAAAATGTATAACAATTTTTTCTAATGAAACATCTCAAAAATTAATATATTCTATTGAAGATGTAAGTTAAAAATTAATTTTTCAATTGCTGTAAAAACATTCTTAATTAATCGACTTTTTTCAGAAAATGATTCTTGAAGAGAATCCTTCAAAATGTTAAGATCATAAAGTTAATATTTAGGAACATTTTTACTAAATATTGAAATTGAAGGATTTTTCAAGATTCATTATAATTATACACATAAGCAATTATATGATGTGCCAAAATCTAAATTTTAAATTAAAATATCGATCAAATGTCTGATTATATTTTCCCCTCCAAAAAACTGCTTAATTTCGGATCATCAATGATTACAATATAATTGATTAGTTAGATAAAGTCCTTAATTAAGATTAAAGACATTCTAAAAAATTTAATTTTCATGGAGTTGTTTATTGTTATATTATTAATTACAACCTTATGTAATAACATATCGGTTATTATCCTAGCTTTTAGCTAATCTTTTTTTAAATTGTAATCATGACAAAATATATACTTTGTCATGGTTGTGATGATCCATTGAAATAAATTGTCATCATAATTAAAATTAACACGGGAAATATCAGTTGAAGAATAGTGTTTGATGTGTTCTTATAGCCTGAATTACATCCATCAAAATCGCATGTAAGTATACATCCATCCATCGTATTATCTTGGTATTTAAACTCTCCGCACTGAGAATCCATAGTCTTCATAGCACATTGTCTGATTACCATAACTTCACGCGTAATAACTGAAAAATTATACTAACTGAGGATTTGTAAATATATTATTAATTATAAACGTAAATAGTCTATAGATAACATTTTTCAAGATCAACTGAGTGACACAAAATGATCATAAAACCTCGTATATTGCGAGAAAAAAAAAATAAAAACTTTTATATTCTCAAAATTTTGTAAATAGCCTTTTTTTAGTCCTTTTCATATAAAAAGTTTTAATGGGTCTTTTATAATTTTTAGATAAGTACTCATCAAGTACTTGTCTATGTTTCATAATGTTCCAAGATATTTATCGGATCATCAAATGTTTTTTACAAGAAAAAGCCTAAAATTATAATATTTCAAAATTTTGAGAAAAATAAGATTTATTTATTATATTTACAACTAGCTGTTACGACTATCATTTATGTTTAGTGTACATTTATAATTACATAGAGATATTTAAAACTAGATTATTTTTTCTAATTAGTGATAAATAATGAAAAATATACTTTAAACGTATTCTAAGAATACGAATTCTAATTATTAAAAAATTCAACGAAATTATAATTGGATTAAAAGTTATAAAAGATGTCAGAACATCATGGGACACTGTATATATATACAGGCATATATTAAACTCTCATTTTTTCATAAAATTATGATTTTTTTATAAAAACAGTTTAAAATTTGATTTATTTTTATGAACTATATTATGTTATTATTATTTTTTAGCTTCGATGCGAACCTGAGAAGGTATTAATTTTACTATGATGTGTTTTTTTTTTTTTTTTCTGTTGCCACTTTTTCTCAGCTCTCACTGGACCGATTTCTTTCAACAATACGTCAAAAGATCACAAATCGTATCTAGTTGAAGACATTACCCTTAAAAATTGAAACATTTTCCCTCGTTCCCTGCAAATGGGGGAAATATCCAAAAAAATTACAAATTTAAAAATCGGTAAATTTTGTCATTTTTTTCACTTTTTTTTCTTAAAACTTCCTTAACTTTTTCAAAAATAAACAAATCAACATAATTTTTTTTTATACTAAAACCTTAGATATTTCCCTTTCATTTGATATCATTTTTTGAAAATCTAACACTTAACCTGCTCATTGGGGGGGATTTAAAATAGCAACTTTTTTACAAAAACTAACTTTTTCAACTTAATTTTTGAAAATGTTCCAGAAATACTGCGTCTTTTAAACATATATCAAATTAAAGCTTATTTTATGTACTATAAAATGAAAAAAAAAAATTTGTCCCGACGCCCTATCTTCTATGCGCAAATGGCTACCGTATTCAAAAATATGCTATTTTTCTATTAAAATTTTAGGTTTTGTATTTTATTTTATTTTATAATATCTTATTAGGAGAATATATTGACTTTCATGAGTATTATATAATTTAATTGACATAGAATAAAGTTCATAAGACATAAGAAATTAAACTTATTAAATTTTTTTTACTTTTTTAAAGTCGAAAAAGTAATTTTTAAATTTGAGTTAGCTTAAATAGCCAATTTTTTAGCTTCGATGCAAATTTTTAATAATATTAAAACTTAGAAGTGATAGAAAAAGTCTAATTGCAGATTTGAAAACATCGCGAAAAGTTGATTTAGAATGGTATATTTTTGTTACTGATGAAAGTTCCTTGTAGTTCAGTGCATTTATTTATAGTAACAAACAGTTTTTATTGAAATTTATTGTATCAAACCCTTTAAATTTTTATACACGTAAAAATAAAGCAAAATACAACTTCTTTATTATTTTTATAATTTCTCCGTTTAAATTACAATATTAAATTATTGAATATCAATTTCATACTAAATTTAATAATTATAATTAGTATTTATTCATATATTATATTTTAAAATCAAAGAACTACTAATTAGGATATAATCAAAGAAATAAGAGTTGATGTTGCTTTTGGAATAATCCACCAATTTCTCTAAATGAAAGGCTATCTACAGATTTGCATCGAAGCGTTTCTTATGATAGTGATTTTAATCACTGTCAAATATCATCTATACTTGTCCCATCTATGCCTTGTCTACACTGTGCCTCGACCCCACTGTGCTACCGTTTTNACCTTGTCTACACTGTGCCTCGACCCCACTGTGCTACCGTTTTTTTTATTATTAAATGGGTTAAATAAAACTTCGATTGGTCCATAACCTGTCTTGTAACATTTTTGAGATATTAATATTTAAAAATTAAGAAAAGGTGAGGATTGGTGTTGTGCGTTTAACGACGTTCTATTTTTACCATATAGCACTGATAAGAATTCTTCTATGTTGCGCATCCTTTTAGCCTATAACTTAAAATTAAAAAACGATTTAATATGATTTTTAGTTTGCGTACACTTCTAGCTACCATAATAAGTTTTTAATGGGAAAGATTTATATCCCGTACCTTCTTATAAACGCGCCATTAGCTACAATACTTTTACTGTTATACAGGTAATGTCAAGGACGTGCTAACCAAGCGTTAAAAATGTTTAAAGAATAAGGACATTTGATAACGACGAGGGACGTCATTTTAATATAAATTACTTTCTTTTATTTTGCCAAACTTATAATGTGTTGAAAACACATAAACGGAAATCATCGATTGAAGGATTATAATTGCTTTTCCACATTTTACACAAGGACGGCTGTATAGACCGGCACGGCCTAATCCTTTTAGATAGTTATTGAGTAATGATTATTTTTTATTCTTACCATTTGTGCCGACTATTTTAGTGCAGAAATTTGCCGGAAACATACCAACATGGCCTCTTTTAGGAACCATACATTTTTCTATATATGATGACATTGCAGGGTTGAAAGGATCTTCACAATCTGTATTACTTCCATTTAATGAAGAACACTTAAAACAATTTATACATGACGTACCTAAAGTAAGAATTAACAACAAATTTAATTTAGATGACACAATTATTATGAACTATATGTAGTGTAATACTATTATGTAGTGCAAATTTTATTTAAAAAAATTATAAAATCCATTTTAAGATAAATTTTTCAACTCGAAAAACTTAACAAATTTATTTTTTATTAAAGTGTATTAAAAAAAACCTTGTTCCTCTCATGATTAAAGAATCTTTTACTTACATTATCAAACATTTGTCATTGCTATAGAAATTATAGAAATTGCCTATTTTTTATTTGGTTAAAAACGAAAATTTAATTATATTTTCACATATGAAATGAATAATAATTATATGGTTCGATTAAAACCGAGACTAGATTTTTAGTCTAAGTCTGCCTCTGTTATATATATGTTATCTTTAATTCTTTAATTATGTAGCATCTAATTTTATTAATATTAATTGTTAACATTTTTACTTACCATGAAATATACCCATTAATATTATTGAGATGTCAAGCAGATATATGATCATTCCTTGAAACAAAACTTTGATGGAAGATAACAATCTATAAAATATTTTTAAATGATTTACGTCATGTGCTTAATTTATAAGTTATTTTTAAATTTGGCATAATTATTAAACTCTAAAAAAGAAAAAAAAATTGTAAAAACAGATTTTATGACAGTACTGGGAAATAATTCTAAATAATGTTCCAAAGTATCATTTGCTTAGTACAAGTAGAATAAAATCGTTTTCCACATGAATAGATTGTAGAACAGAAAACAATAATAGTTAATTAAAATAATTTACTTACACGTTTACCGCGTTTATTTAGTATCGCAAGTTGAAAATAAATAATTTTATATTCCAAGATTTTTACATGGCCATAAGCCAGGAGTCATCATTTTTGTCACAAATTTATTTTAAATTAAATATAAAGAATCAATATTATTCCTATTAAAATTGCACTTGAGAAACATGGATAGAATAATATTGTTTGAATTGCTATACATTCTTAGAAATATTATGATAATATTTTAACATCACACCCTGAAGGATATCTGGCATAGTATAGTACTAAATGTAATAATCGAAGGGATGACGTAGGTAGCGCCTTAGCAACCGTTGCTAGGATGAAGATTGGGTCAGTCGTCACTATTTATAGAGGAAAAATCACCCACATTGATACTAGAAACAATCAGTGATTTAAATTTCTCAGATAACATCCTTTATTCCGTTTTTACAAGTGTATGAGATAGCTTAAAATATATGATTATACTTGATTTCTAAATTTACGTCGATGTAAATGTTATCTTGTTAATCAAAATGTATACGCAACAAAAATATTTAAATAAAATATAGAATAGACTTATATAACAGTTTAAAGTAGCAAGAAAATTCTCGTTATTTTAGCTTTCATGCGTTTGGTTAAAACTTATAATAGTTAAAAATAGTTATACGATAAAACATACTGTATGGCCTTACTCAGTATATTTATCATAATTTATTGAAGAGAATTATAGAATGGAAAAATATTCGTTTAGCGGGTAATTAAATGTTTTTAATTTGTTCATGTTATAATGAAACAATGTAGGGTTAACAATAAAGTGATTAAAATGGCTGTTAGATATCAATCAATACTAATTAAAAAAATATTTTTTCTTCACTACGCTGGATTCTGACTATACTACACATTTTTTAAGTTTAATACAAAAAATAAATTTTATTTACTTAAATTTCCCATATGTAATATTTTAGTAATGGAATTTTAAAAAACATTTCTATTACCCCCCTAAGGAGATCAAAGAAGACAAAATTAATAATTAAATTTTTAATAGTCTAAAACAAAAAATTTACCAAACAAAATTTGCAATAGGAACTCTATTAGTCATCGAACAACACTAGTATTGAGACAAATGTATGTATAAACATCTAATGCTATTATCGTACAAAAGTACACGAGTGCACGATAAATGTTGTTTAGTATACTATTGTGTAATCGTATCACCCGTGTGAACTAATAAAAATAGTCTATTATTGTTATCAATCACGACAATATACTCGTATTTATATTGTTTTCTCATTTTGAACAAGATATCCCAATTAGTTTTGTGTACATTTGGCACCAAACGCGTACCTGTTATATGAAAATATAAGACTTTGTTTAATATGCGTCGGATGAGGTTAACTAAAAAGGCTTAGACCTCCAGAAATTTAGAATAATTATATGTTTTGTTTTAAAGAAATTATTTTTTGGAAGGAAAAAATAAGTTTCGCTCCTCCAAAAAATTGTCTACCCTACGCTTATGATTGGTGTTACTCCTTCCCTTTGAAAATTTTTCCAGTAACAGTCATAGCTTATTATACTTACATGTGTAATAGCCGGGATGGCGTAAAGGAAGAATAAAACTCAGGTCTAAATAAATAGAACGAACAAACGAGTTTTAATTAATTATTACTTTTAATAACACGAAATTAATTAAGAACATCTAATACATAAACCCTATAATAGTATAAACCGATGTGACTGCTTCTTGAGTAGTCATTTAATTAACGTCTTGCATTGGCCTTTATTTATACTATGTTGATGTAGTCCTTGGGAGTAGTATCCAGGGTTAACCTTGGGACAAAAATAATAAGTATCTCTGGTGAAAAATTATTAAATGAGCATATGGCTAAATTTGAAAAAATAATTAAGATAATAAAAATATCTATGGGACCATTACACATGTATACAAACAACAAATTATTTATTAACATATTCTAGAAATAAATATTTATTTTATAAAGGCACCGTCCGTTTGGGAGAACAGCGCGCTCTAACTATGCGCGTAATTAGTGTGATCAGAATAACACATCCACTTGTAAGAATTTTTTATAAAAACGTCTATTGAACAAAAATATATGTCATCACAAAAATGAAAATAAGCAATAGTATTCAATATAATAAAAAAATACTGCTAGTCTATCATGTTTTTTAACATTATATTTAACAAAAAATATTTAGAGAGCCGCCAAAATATCACTTTACCAACTTTCCGTTAGTAGTTCCAATATTTGATTTTTTATTCTAAACATTTGTGTTTTTTCCTATAAGACCTAAAATCGCCATAGATGAAGAACAGTAACTGTTTCGTTTTCATACACTTGTAAAATACGACCTCGTTGCCCTCTGCCGGCATTATGGGTAAAATTGGCTCGTTTTTACAGTATAACAAATTTTGTTACTTCAACTTTTGATGGCTTCGAAATATATGCTTTTTGGGCGTATCATTAAAGTTGTATGACACTTATTTTTAATAGACAACCTAGAATAGTACTTAACGTAAATACATAAATAAACGATTACTACTACACAATTTAAAACGCTTTAATTACCAATAAAATTATATGTATTTCGAATAATCATAAAGAAGTTTTTTGATAGTAGTGAGGAGAGACGTACCTCACTTTTAACCATATACTAGGTTTTATTTTAACGAGTGTTTTGAAAATTTTGTCACGGAAAATATTCAAATACCTGCAATTAAATATCCACGTAATGACTTTTAAAGCATTTCTTAGATACTTATCATTCTATAATTTTCAAAATACTGTTTTCATCTTTTTTTCACATCCTCATCATTTGTTAACATACTATTATAAATTTTTATGTACTATATGTAAAAATATATTGTACTGAAACTTTACAAATCCCAGAGTGAATTCTTTCAATATTTTATACTTTTAACGTTAAGTTAATATCTTAATATAAATGACGGATCGGGGGTTTACTTACACAGACGAATAATAGGCTAAAAACACAATCTACACATTTTTTTTACTAATGATACGATTCTTTTAATCATACACAAATTAAATAATTACATATAATATTAACATTAAGTAATAAGAAAAAGGAGTAACATCACCCAGCCACTTGACACATCTCCACAACAATACTTCTTGGCCGACGCCAACAATCCTGAATGCCACGATTAATTTTATATTGACAAGACGCACTAACTTGACAATACCACAGAAAAGGAACACCACCAGTGTGTGGACGTTAAGGACACCAACTCCAAATATGGATTGAACCTTTAGTAACCGTATGTTGGGGCTTCGCCTATACAGGCTGACACAAACCCAACAAAAAAAACTATACCAGCTCACTGGCCACGAGTCATCAGACCCAAACGGTTCGGTACGACTTTAATCGCGTACACCGACGTAGTTAGTGACGGCAAACTGCCGGTAGTGCCGGACACGAGTGTCGTCATTACATGGAGAGGGGTAATGCGATTCGAGCTATGTGGGGAACTTGACCGGTACACACTTTAACTTTTGAACACCATACATTTAGAAAATCTTTGGGTCGTTTGGTTTCTTTCTAGTTTTCCCTAATCTATAATTTTCTTTTTCACGTTCCTTTGTTTCCTAATTTATCATATCTCTTACACTTTGCTTTACTTACTGCATATTTTGCTTCTTTACACAAACGTTTGTACTCTATCCAATCTTCTCTCCTTCTACTCTTCTGCGATACTTTAAATTGTTTTTTCTACCTCACTATAATTTAATTAAATTTCTCATCCTACCACCTCGTTTCTTTGTTATTATTTTTTTGTTTCCAGGCATTCTATTCTTACTCTCACCTATAATATCATTTGCGGTATTGTTTACAATCCTATTCCATCTTCATTTATATTTCCCATGACATTTTACACTATTCTTTCTTTCACCTTTGTTAGGTGAAGAATTTTTCTTTTTCATCTTTTAATTTTCACTAACTAATCCACGACTTTCTTCCTTTGTTCTTTCTATTTTTCCATACATTCTTTCCTCTATACCATAACTTTACACTCTCTCTCTTCCACATAAAATAATTAATTTGTGATTTATTACTTTCACTCTTATAAGTTATATCTTCCATCTTCCTACAAAAGGTCTTAACTACAGTAAAATCTAGAACTCTTATTTTAGTTTCATTTTTCTCGCTAAAATCATACCCTCTTCTCTCATCAGGGACAGCTTGATCCGCTAGGTTACCGAGAGAGTCTACTGCTAAAATGGTTTTCTGGCCTTCACTGCCAGAAATGTTATTGTGTATAATATGGCTTGAACAAAATGATTACCTGGACTGAATTTCCCCTCAGATAATCCCCGCCACGCATTATCAAATGTCCATTCATATCGTCACCTATCGCCACATCCTCATTATTTGGTATTACTTGCATCATCTCATCCATCTCTCTCCAAAACACCTCCTTGTTTATTTCATCACATCCTACTTGTGGTGCTAAGGCACTCACTTTTTCCTCAACAATTAATATCACCACAATGATTCTGTCATTTTTTCTGAATACGTTTACTACTTTGCTTTTCATCTCTTCGTCCATTATTACTCCTATACCATTTTTATATTTGTCATACCTAAGTATACTATTTTATACCCCTTATTTATATCTTTCGCTTTCCGCTTAGTTTCCTGCACACTACAAATATTGACTTTCCTCCTTTTTAATACATTTACTAATTCTCTACTCCAACTAGTTAGTGTTCCGACATTCTACGTATCTATTGTTATTTTATACTTATCAGTCGCATCTAGACACGAGTTTAACCTAAAATTCTAGCTCCTCTAAACATTTTACCAATTATTGGCCAATGAATTGTTATGAAAAAAAAAAATTAATTGTTAATAATTGTGGCCGCAGCAGTTTCTTACTACTCTACCCGTTCGCTTTTTTATTGTAAAAACAATGATCACCTGGACACTATTCTATAGCACAGAAATATTTCAGTCCATCTCTGGCAATGTTGCTTATAAAAGTAGGATATTAGCTAAAAAATGAGTAGACTTGGTTAAAATATTGATATCATTACTTTATTAGACTTACTTTTTTAAGATAGAATTTTTTTTACAATTAGTCTTTTGTTGTAGACTTAATTTAAACATTATCTACTTATGTACTTTCTTATGCAATAAAAATGTCATAGTTTCAAAGAATAAGAGCCAAGTTGTTGTGCTTAATTTTCTTTTTTTAATAATTTAGAATACTTTTTTTGGATTTAACTTGATTAAGTATTTTTGAAGAGCTAAGTTAATTTTTAAGTTTATTTATTTATTAAATTAAAAACCTTTAAATTTACTATACTATTCTTGTTTCATTAACAACTATGGTTTATTGAAAATAATTGAACACATAAAAAAATTTAATTTTCCTTTATCCAACAATAGGCAACATAACTTACGGGTCGCTTAGATAGTTTAATAATCACAATTCGTGGTGAGAGTGGGCGCTATCATAAATAGATATCATTAAATGATATCTAATTCATGGCAATATTTTTATACATTGTCTTGATATGAAATAAAAAAATAAATAGGAGTTATTCAATAACAAAAAGTTTATTTTTTAAGCTTAAGTTGCTTCTATAGTTTTGAAATATTTCAATTTAATATAATTATTGTTGTCAAATATATTAATTAAAAAAATTGTGAAATGATTGTTAATGATTTTAAATATTTGAAAAAATTGATTTTTAGGTATTTTGTAAGAATGAAGATGTGCTCAAATTAATAATTACATTTCAATTAATAGTTATTGCACATTTCTAATTATTTTTAGGTCAATAATATCCTTTAGATTTTTTAAATTATTTTGATATTCAAGCTTTTATATAACTTATTATTTATATAGCTTTTATTTAATTCCCACATCATGAATTTTCAAGAGTCTGGTTTAGAAAAAAAAGATCTTTGCAATGTATTATTGAAATGGGTATGTAAGAAAATAAATTTAATAATTCTTCAAATAATAAATAATCATATATTTGTTTACTATTGTTTTAATATGTTAAACTAATGAATATATGATTTACTAATTAAAATTTGTCTATAAACTATTCTTATTTTTTATCTGATAAAAAATAACTAATGTGTACTTTTTTGTTAAGTTACAAACATTTTCCCTTAAAGGAGCTCATCGGACTTTACATGATATATCTGACGGTGTTGCTATGGCTGAGGCACTTAATCAAATGTGAGTTTATAATTTTTCTTTACTGTTGGATTAGTTTAATGGATTAGCTATTTAACATGTGTTACTGATAATTTTGTAAAAAACATAAATTAATATATACATTAATTATATTTAATGCATTAAAATGCATAGATGCTGTTTTTTTGGCACATTTATGAAATTTAATTTAAGCTAATGATCTATAATAATTTAAGTTATGTGGTGTCATTGTTAACCTTTATTTAATTATGCTATTTATTTAAATTTAAGATTTGGGTTTGGATTAAAGATTAAAACATTATGAAAACTTCAGAGTTATGTGCCCAGTGTGATATATTTTATAAGTTTTAAGTAAAAAATATTTGCCAATAAAATTAACAAATATTTATATACTGATTTTAGAGCACCTGAATGTTTTGATGAGAACTGGTTTTCAAAAATTAAAAAAGATGTTGGAAGTAATTGGAGACTTAAAGTTAGAAACTATATAATTAATATAAGTAGAAATATTATATACTATTTTGTAGGCTTCTAAAATTATGTTGAATTAAAAATAATATTGACACTATAAAGATTTTTAAAATATATTAAATATTTTTGTTATAAATCTTATATATATACCTTTACCAAATACTATTTATTTATATATATATTTTTTAAATATTTTGTTTATAAATTATTGATATAATTACACTAAAATAAGTGGCATGACATCAATATTTGACTGAATTATCAATAAAATTCTCAGTATAATATTTTATTTGTAGGTCAGTAATTTGAAAAAAATAGTAGAAAAAATTCATGATTTTTATCAAGAAAATGATTCTCAACACATAGGGAACTTTTCCGCTCCAGATGTTGTTAAAATAGGTAATTATATTTCGTAAAATATATCTTATGTTAGATTTACTTTTTAAATAAAATCAGGTGTTTTTTTTTATAAAGATTAAATATTATTTCAGTTCATATCTGTTCTATAAATTATCAATAAAATTTATAAATCTATATTATTCCTTCACATCTAAAAAAGAGACTAAAAAAAATTAAAAATTAGTATTTTTCTATTTTTTAATCCATATTTTGTTGTATTAAAATTATTTGTTAATTATATATTATATTATATTATATATTATATATAATAGAGATGTTTAAAATTAATTATAGTTTATCTAAGAACAAAGTTTGTGAAAATATTTATGTCTTACCTTGTTATGGAAATTTAATTTGATTTATTATTAGAATCTAATAATAAATTGTACTGTGATTTTATTAATTATTAAGTGAAACATGTTACTACATAGATTGGCATTTTTCTTATCTTAATTTTTGTATAAATAGACTACATAACTTTTAAATAAATCTTTTTAACTATGTTCACATTTTCTTATATGTTTCTAGCATGATTTTTAAATAAAATATTTTTGATCAAGCATAATTTTTATTTATACCTTTTAGGTGGTGAAGAAAATAAATTAGAATTAGCTCGCTTGCTGCAACTTATTTTAGGATGTGCTGTTAACTGTCAAAAAGCTCAAGGTATTTTATTTTATTTTTTAAACTAATTAAAAATGTTTTTAGTTGCTGATTTCTAAAATAAAATCTGCTAAATATTTGATGGGAAAAATGAATTTACATTTACCACACTTAACCATAATTGTTAAGGTTATTTAATTTTTTTCTTTTAATAAATAAAAAAATGTATAGTTGATATAGGTATTATTGTATATAGTTAGTATATATAGTTGATTGTTGCACTTAAATGTTATCCTCTTAGTGAGATTTTTATAGTTTATCTTTAATTTTTTATTAAAATTAAAGTTTTATAAAAAAAATAATAGAACTGGTCTACAATATTACAAATATTGATCACAATAATTTATTTTCTTTTTTCTAATGAATGAAAACAAAAAAAAAAAATTCAAGAACTAAAATAAATCAATGGAAATTATATTTTATTTAACTAATTTTAAAAACGATGATTTTATATTTGTGTTTTTTAATTTAATTTAAGATAAAATAAATTTAATTTGTATTTCAGAATTTATTACAAAGATAAGGTTAATGGATGAAAATTCTCAAACTGTTATAATGCAGTCGATACAGGATTTAGAAAGAATTCAAGGACACACACAAAGCAGTTTTACTAATAGTCTTAGTATTGATATTATTCAACAGGATCAAGTTCAACAACTTATTGATGAACTTCATGCAGTTACTAAAGATCGGGATCAAATGACTCAGCGTTGTCTAGAACTTGATTCACAAGTAATTCAAAATTTTTTATAATTTTTACTGAAGCAATTCATTTAAACTAGTTTTATTATTTATTACCATTTTTGTTTAAAAAACAATTAATTAGCCCTTTTTTCAAGGCTCTATTTGTAAAAAAAAATTAAACATTCTTTATAAATGGCTAACATTGGTAAATAAATGAAGTTTTAATTTTTATTTATCTTATAAAATATTCTTTTATAAATTATTCAAATTATTATTAATATTTTAATCTGTATTTTATAAATGCTAAAAATAATATGAATCTTAATTTTCTAATTTTGTATTTAGATTAGCGTACTACAAGAAGAAAAAACATATATATTAGATGAAAAAAGACATTTGGAAGAAAGGCTATTGGAAAGTGTTGAAGATCCTTTAAAAGGAAATGGACAAATGAGGAGGCAAATTGATGAATTAAAAGAAGAATTATACAAAGCTGAGACATGTATATAATTCTATTGGAAATATTTTAGTTTAATCTTAATAACTAATAATATAGCGATAATAGCTCAAAAATGAAAAAATATTTATTTATTTATTTAGTATAATTAACTTTTGATTAAACCTTATTTATATAATTATGCCATTCTATGAATACAGTAAAGTAAAATGCTTATTTTGTAATCTCTTAATCTCTCTTTTACAAAATTGTGTTATATAAATGTTTTACATTATGAATAAAAAAAAAATTTAATTTACTTTCATATGAAGGTGCATGTACAATATATAGCAATAGATCTATCCCATAGAGCTTAAAACTTTGTTGAAAAATTTATCATACCTAATATTATTTCATTTTATTAATATAATATTGACTAAACTCATTGTTTAAATAATATGTGTTATATTATTACAGCTAGAGATGATTTTAGACTAAAATTTGAAACACAAGAAAGAGAAATAGTTGACTTAAAATTAAAATTTGAGCAATTACAAGAAACTGCTGGTGAAGCCAGATTATTAAAAGACGAATTAGATATTCTTCGAGATACTGCTGATAGAGTTGAGAAATATGAATTAACCTTACAATCATACAAAAAGAAACTTGAAGAACTTGGAGATCTAAAAAGACAAGTCAAAGTATTAGAAACAAAAAATATAGCTTATATTCAACAAAATATGGAACTAGAACAAGTAATTTCACATCATCATCATATAATGAATGTTATAATTTTAATTTGTTAAATTTTAGGAGATAAAAAAATCCTCTGTTTGGAAATCACAATTAGAAATTTACAAAAAACAAGTAACTGAATTGCATCAATCACTTAATGATGAAACAAACAAATCAGATAAATTAGAATTTGAAACTAAAAAACTAATTGAGAGTATGAATACTTTGAAAAAAGAAAAGGATGTAATACAATGTTTAATTACTTGTTGAAATGAAATTGCATTGTGTTAATTTATAATATTTTTAGAGATTAATTGTAGAAAGAGATTCTTTAAAAGAATCAAATGAAGAATTGAAATGTTGCCAAACCCAACAAAAACGTAGTAGTGTTATTGATCATTCTCAAGCAACTACTGGTGATGATATGGATTCTGTTATGGAGTTAAAGTAAGTAAAATATTTGATATGTTGAATATTTTTAATCTTAATATTTTTTCTAGGCAAAAATTAGTCCGGCTTCAACATGAAAATACAATGCTAAAAATGAATCAGAAAGATCCTGAAGAAGATAAAGTTACTGTACTACAAACATTATTGGATAACACAAGACAACAATATAACCAATTGAGATTAGATAATAGGTATTTTGAAAATATTTTCTTTTATGTAAGTAGACTTTATAATTTTAGAAAACATTGTATAATTATTTCAGAAAAGCTAATCAAAAGATAATGGAATTGGAATCTGAATTAAAAGAACACTCAGAAGATAATTCAAATGAGTGGAAAATAAAGGTAAAAGAGCTTCAAAGTAAACTTCAGTGTGAAAAAGATACAAGATCAATGGACATAGAAGAGAAAAATGCTACAATAGCTGAAAAAGGTGTGCATATATCTTAAAGGAGTATATTAAATATTGGTAAAAAATTATATAATTTATTAATTTAAATTATGTAGATCAATTGATAAATCTTCTTCAAGTTACAATAAATCAAAAAGATTTAGAAATTCAAGAATGGGAAGAAAAAAATAAAAAATGTATTGAAAAAGCAAAATTTGTTGTCAAATCAATGGATATAAAAAATGTACTGGCATCAGATAGTGATGCAAATATTCTTCATAATAAGTTATTAAAAGCTAATAAAGAAATTACTGAATTAAAGGTAGTTAATATTTTATATAAATTTCTTTAAACTTTAAATATTTTTTGTGTAGAAGGAACAAGAAAATTATAAAGTAACACAAGACTACGAAGAAAAATTAATGGCTACAGCCTTTTATAAGCTAGTAAGTCAGAAATAACTATACAATTATATAATACTTTTTATGTGTAACAAAGAAGCTATTAGCTTTGTTTTTTTTGTGTCCATATACGCCATTACTCCTGTTCTTGCTAGACTAATTTTGTTTTACAATTTGTTAAAAGATCACAAAAAAAGTATTTAGTTGAAGCACCAAAAAATTCCCCTCAGTAATAAAGAGAAATGTCCCAAAAAATTACAGTTGTCATAAAACATTCAAAGTTGGTATTTTTAATTTTCACTTAATATTTAAATATATTTTTAAAAACTAAATGGATTATTGTGAAATTATTATTGATAATACTTCAAACATTTGACTATATGTTGACATGTTTTTTTTGAAAATTTCAATCATTAATAAAGGTACTGTGATAACTTAAAATCATATGAACAATTTTTGACAATGTTTCAAAAAACCTACCTCTCTGACCCTACAATAATTAAAGCTAATATAATGTATTTTAAGATGAAAAAAGAAAAACTATGAAATCACGATTCTAGGAGTTGTTGGGAATTATAATCATAATATTTAGTAAAATTAGCTGATTTTGTTATATTTTGCATAGTAACAGAGTGCTTACATAATTTTAATTTAAAGCCTGTTTAATGTATCGTGATATTAAAAATGTTATGGTAACATTGAGTAATCAACCATTTAAGTCAATAACCATGTAATTTTTGGTAGATATATTAATTTTTTTTTTAATTTGTTCACATATGCATCAATGTTGTACAATAGTAATTTTAAACAATGTCGGATATCAAATAATACTAAACTAAAAAATGCCTTGTCTCCCATTTTACTGGATATCTACTATAATTTACTTTTTTTCAATTATATGTAATTTAATTGCAAGTATAGAAAGTATGGCGAATATAGTTTTTGGATTTTCACATTATATTTACATTTAAAAAAAATGATGTAAAAAGAATTATTTTATTTAGGCACAAATGAAAATGCAGGAATCAGTTGATCAAAGAGTAATGAACCAAGGATTATTGCATAGTCAAACGTTTTTGTCTAGACATAGGCATCAACAAAATAAAAATGTTGAATTACCTATTATTTCTAAGTAATTTTAAGATCTTTTTATAGAAATTAAAACTATTGTGATATTTTTTAATAAAAGATCTGAACTAAAGCACAGCTCAAATAGAGTAAATGTATTATTTAAAAAATAATACTTTTGTTTATGGCCATTTCAATTAATATGGCAAAATATTTTGTATTTTAAATCTTATAGTAAATTTGTTTGGAATGAAGATGCAATGTATTATTTAGTGAAAATTAGTTTTGATAAAAATTGGTTAGTAGGCATCAAGTGTGGTATTTATTTTTAATGTTTAATATTTATGAGTGAAAAAAAATTAAATATTTTTTACTTTATATATAACTTAACAGTTTATTGAACTACTCATATCAGGCTTATACGGTAACCCATAAAATAAGTTGAGCTTATGTACATTAATAAGATTATAAGATAAAAAATAAGCTTACTTGTAACCTTAATAGTAACTACAGTTTATTTTTAACAAAATTATTGAATAAAAACGATTTCCTTTTTATTACAACTTAACTTTATTGAAATAATAAACTAAGTATTTCATGTAAAAATGAGGAAAATAATATACAGAAAAGAGTTATTTATATTAAATTTGTTTAATTTTAGAATATTAGTCAATTTACAGAAGTAGTATTATTTGATAGATGATAATTATTTTTGTTGAAATGATTTTATAGTAAAATTAGAATTTTAATTTATTTATTTATAAAACATCTCAATATTGATATATTGAAAATGTTTTTATGTTATTATATTTTTGTATATTGATTATAAATAAATACAATTATTGACATAATATGTTGTTAATTATACAAATGTCTCATTTCTCTATTTAATATCCTCTTTTAACTGTGTAAATTAATCATAATAAAAAATAAATTCTAAAAAGTGAATGAATGATTAATGGGTTATTTGCAAAAAAAAATATAGATTGTAACAATAACTAACATAAAAATAATTGGAATTGAATAATAAACAAACAAGCATTTATAATTTCAACTATTAAACATTGAAAATAATAAATTAAAAAACTTTTCTAAACAGTTCTGCTCATTTGATTTCATTATTATTGAATAAGATACTAGTGTTAAATCTAAAATAATGATTAGACTGAACATTTACCAACAGTCAACATCGAGATATTTTTATACAAAAAAAAAAAAAGTATCACTAATCTTTCATTTTATAATTTTTTTTTTTTTGTAAAATTAAAGTTACGTATTAATGATAAAAGTAATAATATTTTAGTTGTTCAAATAGTAATGATTAATAAATAATATACTTTGTAGCAACTTGTTTATGTTTTAACAAGTGCTGTAATAATAAAATGGAAATAAATTATAAATTCAAATTATATGGCATAAGATTAAATTGTAAATTGGTAATATAATTTTTTTTTTTTTTTATATATATATAAATTAAATAAGTAATAATAATTATACAAAATAAATACAATATAATAGAAAAAAATAGAGCTATAATAAGGCTACTTTACAATTACAATGACTCTCCATTCAACAGTTTTTTGTCAAAGAGGAACTCTCCAAGAGCTCCATGAGAATCCATCATTTTACCTAGATTTGATATTTTTCCAGCTAAATCACGTTGGCCTTCATATTGCTCAGTCAAGAAATCTCCAGTCAACCAATCAACCAACTGAAGATGTAAAAAAAAAAAAAATATATATAATTATTATGTAAATACAAAGAAAATGTGTTATAACATATTTTATGTTTTATAATCATTTGTAATTACATTGAGTATTCATATATTTTTCTCACACTATTAAACTATTAAGAGTTATAGAATTAAATAATTAAAAGAAAGGCAAAATTATTTAAACTTTATGACATGATTTCATAGTATAAAAAATGAATCATTTGTTTAAATATTTGTATAATTAAATTTGTAAATAACATTACTGTTATTTACAGTGTTAATAACACCTGTTAATTACAGTTGAAATATGTGTACAAATACAGATATATGCAAGTGGTTATAAAAGGAGAGATATTCAAATTCTAATTTAATATAAATTTAATTATTTTTGCCATAGAATTCTTTTACCTAAATATAATTAAGCAAAATTTTTCCAATTAAATAAAAAAATTGAGAAATGCCTGATTATAATGTATGCTACTTTCAATAATAAAGGCATGATATTATAAAAAATGATTTTTTTTTAAATTATTATTTTGTATCTTTATTGAATTAATTTATTTTCTATAAATATGTACTTACATTTAAAAATATCAATTTTTTAATCAATATACTCATAGAAAAATAAACAATTTTATGGTTTATTATTTTTAATTTATTTAAATTTTATATATATAGTAACTAGTATGTTAGCATAATAACAGGTTTCTAAATAAAAAAATAATTAGATAGATACACTATATCATAAATCAATGGCTAATATAAATAAATGTTAAGTGATTTTCAGGAACACTTCAAATGATAATTAATAAAAAGTAATTAACTAAAGAATTTATCTGAAGATATACTTAAATATTTTAATCCATTCATAAAAAAATGATGAGTAATTTAGAGGTTTTCAGTCACGTAACACAAAAAGTTGTAATTACTTACATGATAGTCATTAAAATCTTGTCCCTCCCGTCCAGGTTCTTCACAAACACTAGCAATGTCTCTTATCTTACGAGTTACGTGTGCTTCTAATTTTAAAGCATCTTTTAATGCACTCAATCCATCGGCCCATGTTTCAGCTAGTGGTTGCTTTGTTATAAAAATTAATTGAAAACTTACTACTCAATTTTTCATTAAAATATTTATTATTTAGAACTTACAGGGTCACGAATTAGTTGGCTAATATCTTGCGTAAGACCACCTCTCATCAATAAATACCCAATAATTTTAATGGCATGTTCTCGTTCTTCACTAGCACTTTCAAAAAATATTTTTGCAAATCCTGGACGATTCACTGTGTCTTTTGAAAAATGTGCTCCCTATACATAATTATACCAATTCAAATAATATAAAAAATTTTATACTGAAGGTAAAATATAGCTTAAAAATTTTTAGTAAATAAAAATAAACCTTATCCTATTATTTTATGATAAAATTAAAACCCTAAAACTTTTAACATTAATTTTATATACATAATATAACTATGGTACAATTTTTATTCTCTATATTAATTTTTATAAGCTTAGAGAAGAATATAATAGTTGAAGTCCATTAAAAAATAATTATATGATAACAATTATTGATTAAGTATAATATAGCTTGGGTACAACAAGTATTATACACTTCAGTTAAAAGTTAATATATAGTATAATTAATACATCCAAATATTTTTTTCTATGCATTCTTTTCTAATTAGAAACAAACAATACTTACTAATATAAAATAATGCCTTTAAAATTATCTTATAGATGTTTATTTTGACAATGTAATATTATTATAGGATATATAAGTCAACTAATGAATAAATAAAGATATTGTTCAACTCAAAAGTCCCTTATACTTACTAAAAATTTCATTCAAGTAAAAAAATCAAAACATATGATAACTATTTTTTTTTATTACTTTATAGTTAAAGTAAATATTTTAACAAAAAAATCATTTAAAATGCAAGAATCAATAAAATGGGAAATTGGCATCAATGAACATTACAAATTTAGGACTAAGAATATAATTACATTGTTTAGTAAGTATTCATATTCAAAGAATGGCAAATATCCAACCAAACTTATTTGTTTCTAAATTATTATATTAACAAATATTTTTATGCACACTGATTACTTTTATTTTTTAAAATAGGAGATTCATTAAATTGTACATAAATATATTTTAAAAATTTCATATTTGATTTTAGCTTACATTATTTAATAAGAGAGACAGTATAAATGAAATATATAATAAACTTACTATACAATTGTTTATAAATAGGGATGATTAATAAGTTATGTACAATAACAAAATACCTGTAGTTAAAAATAGAAACAAGAGTCAAAACAAAATATTTTTTAAACATTTAATGCACTAGACAACACTGTAAGTCAAAGGGTAAAGTATAATTTTCTTCTATAAATAAATGAAGTTTATTTTTCTGTTATACAACAGAGTTATTAAAATTGAATTTCAAAATGGTCATAAAAACAATAAAATTCTCTAAATCTTTGTTATAAAATGTTGACATTACTAATAATAGTAAAATATATTCAGAAGTCTTAGGAAAATGCTACTAGAGCGTAGATTTAATGCTCTTATAGAAATATTAATAGAACAACATAGTTTATTTGTAGTAGAAAAATTTAAAACATTAATAAACAAAAACGTGATTGTATAGAAATATATTTACACAGCTTTCAACTTAAGTCATAATAGATAGACTTAATAGTGTAATAAATCTATAAAATCTAATAGACTCAGATGTTAGATCCATATATTCATGTTATTCTAGTTATTGGCAAAATAATTATTTTCAGATATAATTTATAATTGAAAAATCTTATAAAAATTTACTAAAATATAAACTAAACCACTTTTTACTCATTAAATAATAGAGTATGAGTAAATATATAAAAATATTCTAGTTATTTTGATAATATAATATATAAAAATTCAGAATTTGCAAATATGTGTAGTTGTTGTTAGGATAGCAAATTAAAAATTAATTTATTATACATCCATGTGTCTCATAAAAGAATATAGATATAAATAATAAATTACCATAGCAAAATATGTCATTGACGCAATTAGTTCTTCTTGGACTTGTGATTTCAATTTTTTTGTACAAGGATCAACCATAGATATCCAGTCATCAGGAATTTGAACCTTAGGTAATTTACCTATAAGTAAACCTGTCTTATCATAAAATGTTATAAAAATAATTTAAAAAAACATGGATACTTACATTGCATTTTAGCTTGGACTTGATAGTCACTAACCACCACAAAAATTGCAACGACAAAAAAGGTAATTTTTAACATTTTTAATCTTCAAGTTTTCAGCGCGATAAAAATTATTGACAGTATTCCGAATACTGAAAAATATAAAATTATATTTGTTTATTACATAGAAATGACTTCAACATCTATGATTAATAGACTATTAATTAAAATGGTCAAGAAAACAATAATGAACCAAAATTTACTTTATAAATTGTTGATCATTCCTTAACAGAGAACGACGACGACAATGAAATTGAATAATTGACAAATGACAGACTCTGTTGTTATCAGTACCCCACTTCGACCTTGTCTTTTGTCTGTTCCTAGACGAGCGTGTGCGTGTTTGTTCTTTGTAAGTGCATGTGCCTAGTGGCCACTGTAAGTATATTTCGCTATACGTACATAATCGTAACACTGTTATTTGTCTTGCTAATCTTGCAGAGTGGAAAATACTTACAAATGCGTCTTATCTATAATTAATAATAATTTTTTATTGTACTTTGAAATTCTTACTCTATAATATTTGGTCGTTAATATCTAATTGTGCAGTACTGTTGTTTTGTGACATTTCTTAATTCGTCCGTACCATTGGACATTTTTATTTAAGAAATTAAAGTAGGAACCCGTAAGTATATTATTATTTTATCTTCAAGACATTATTTTAGTCTAACGTTACTTATTGTCTAACGTTTTAATAAACTATTTTTCATTTATTAATATGTACACAAAGATTTTTGAAAATTTATGTTTAAACTTTCATTAATTTGACTTAATGTTAATTGTTCACATTAGTTTAATTATTGAATTATTTATTAGTTTATTAATTATTTAAAATATGACAGTATTTTTAATCGATTAAAAATTATTAAATATGTTAAGCTATAACACCCAATTAATGTTATCAGAGTTATTAACCTCTATAGTACACATTTTAAGTTCCTTTTCAAAATTCAAAATTTGATTTTGGTTAACAGGAAATTGAATTTTCATTTTTTTAATGTTTGATGATTAATTATAAAGTTATGTGACTTGCGTACTAAATTATCATTTAATATTATAATTTATAATGTACCTTGTATATAAATTTAGTGGGTTTTTTTGAACCTTTACAATCTATTGTGCCAAATTTAAGATTTATTGGTTTTATGGAATTTTTTTATTGTCGAATATGAATGAATACTAATTTAAATAATATCTCAATTCCATTACATTAGTCCATTACCATACTGTACTTAACTTTAAAATGTTCATCAATATATTTATATTCAACTAAATGTATTGTTTAATATTTTGTATTTTAGGAAAAAATGAAAATTAAGATTCTAGCAATATTTATTGTCTGCATTGGTTATGCTAGTGCTGAATACTGTTACAGCGATGTTGTTGGAGCTTGTAGTCCAGTTGGTAAGTTGGTTAGTTGGTTAGTATAGTTATTCAGGTTGGGGAAGCTATTGGTTTGACTATTTTTATATGAAGGCTTTCGTATTTACCATTATTCCTGTTCTTACTAGAATAATTTTTTCATAAATATAACAAAAGTAAAAAAAAAGTATTTAGTCAAAGAAAAAAAATAATTACACTGTGAAGGTACAATTTATTTTTCGTTTGAGGGAGTAAAGAAATATTTTTTATGTATTCCTCCTTGGAACAAATGTTTAACTGTAACACTGTAGTTATTATCACAACAGCATTAATTTTGTGTCAACTTCCTATGAACAAAATAGTTATTAGTTAATGATACTATTGGAAAGGAGAGTAGTAAAAAATTTTCTTATGAATAAAGTGGCAATACCAATGCATTTTAAACTAAATAATTATATAATTATTTACCTTAATATTTCAATTTTTGATCTAATATCACATTAGCTGTTCTCATTTACTGAAAAATTTTAATTTTCAATAATAATTTATAATTAAAATTATTGTTTTATTTAATTATAAATGTTTTAACATTATTACTATAGAGAATTTTCGAAAGAACAAATCAAATAGATATCTAATACAAAATCAGATATATTAGCTAATGAGCATAACATTAAAATAAATTAATAAAGAACTTAAAAATATGAAAAACTCTTAACTTTTCATTCATTATTGTAGTCACCCTTCCCTCTGAAAATTGTTTTTGTTTGTAAAAAGAAGTGCTTAAAATTTTTTTTATTTTTAACCGATTTTTACCTGTATTTGAAAAAATTATATTTGTTTTTAAGCAGTCAATATTTAATTTAATTTTCTTTTTAATTTTTGAAAAAGTGGTTACTAAATACTACTTTTTACAAAACCGATAATCTTATACCTATTTTTTTATAACTGTTTCAAGCCCTGATGGTAATATAATTTTTTCTCAAATAAATGCATAGGTGGAGAGGTACAAAACTGTAATTCAAAGTATGGTGCACTAAAAGGAGAAGATATACTTGTAAATTTCCAATCTTACATAAATAAGCACATCATGCGCAGTTTTCAATATTTATTAATGGTAAGTTAATATTGAAAATTTCAAATTTCTTTTCTTTAAAAAACATTTACTAGTATTTCAAGTAAATGGATTTTTTTACATTTCTGAATATTTTTGTTTTTTCAAAAGTTTTGTTTTAGTGGTGTTATTTTACAACCAATTATTTATATATTATAGTTTTGTATATTAAACTAATATTGTAATAAAAAAATTACAGTCATCTCATTTTGGAAACTATGAAAAAAACCGAGAAGGTTTTGAGAAATTATATAGAAAACTGTCTGATGATACTTGGCATCAAGCTATTGATATGGTGAAATTTATAACAAAACGTGGAGGGCATATGGATTTCCGTATGATCGGTGAAGATAAAAGTGATAAGGTTTATATTAATATTTTCTTAAAATATTTAGAGGGTGGAACAAATTTGACTGGCCATAATTTTTGACACAACTAACATTTTGCTGTATTTTTTTTATTAATAATGAAATATTTTTATTTTATATTTTAAATTTTTTAATATTTCAAAATAGATAAATTTTATCCTTTTTCTTATAAAAAATTTTGATGGGTCGATAACAACAATTTGAAATAAATATTTATTGAGCAAATATAAATTCAGAAAAAAAAATTCAACAAAATTTTTATTGTATGAAAAGTTAGAGTTGTCAGTTGATATGTATTTGAACTGGTTTATCGGAATTGTTAACGCTGCTCGGTGGTATCTTTTTGTTTAATAAATCAGTTGTATACTAGACACCCATATGTTGCATCATTCGTGTCACCTCATCGTACATATAATCAGTTAGATTTATTCTACCCTGAATGTATCTTTTATATTCATTGTTATTACACATTGAATAAATGATAAATATTTAGGCTATTGATTATGAAATGTATGAATTGGGAAGTATGGCCAAAGCACTTGATATGCAAAAACGCTTAGCTTCTGAAGCCTTTGATATTCATGCTGAGGTTACACGTAAAAAGGAGCATGATCCTGAGGTATATTTTAAATTTTTTTAAAATGTATAAAACATTTTATGTATAAGAATTTGTGTACATTTATTATATACTGTTTTTTTTGTCCTTAGGTTGCATCTTACTTGGAAAACAACTTTGTACACAAGCATTCAAGTATCGTAAGAGAGTTATCTGGTCATACAAATGATTTGAAACATTTGATTGGAAATAACCCTGATCCTAGCTTGTCGCTCTATTTATTTGACGAGTACTTGAAAAAATCAATCTAATTAATTTTATTCTAAATACTGTTATTTATACTATAAAATATAGATTTACTTTGACAATTTACTTTATATAATACTTTATAATCCCAACTTTTTTAACATTAAGTTAATTCATAAATATACTATACAATAAAATATTTTAGAACTATGAATTATTTATACTGTAATCATAAATCATTTTAATAATTATATTTAAATAAAATTTAAAAGCAAAAACTGTAAGAATACATATGAATATGATTCTTTTTTATTGAATATTTATTTATTTTTTGTTATAATTATTTAATCAAAACTGATTTAAAACTTTATAGCTTATGAACTATTATGAATAATAATTTAAGTTATATTGTTGTTCTTGTGTTTTTTTTTTTTTTTATAGCCTTTATTTAATAATAATTAGCTTGACAATTATAAGGAAAAGTAAAAAGTATAATAGTTATAATACTATGTTATCTTTTTGTGTATTATATAATAAATTAATATTTTATGTTACCAAAAATTGTAAAAAGTGAATATTGGAAATTAAAAATAATTATTGTAAAGAGAATTTTTCAACTTTGGTCAATTATATTTTTAGGTTAAATATGTCCAAACATATTTTCTATTGGTCTCTATTTGCTTAATACTTAATCAAACCAAACATTGCAATTTCATTAGTAGGGAAACATTATATTATGAGATAAATTAGGATAACTAATTAAAATATAAAAAATATATGAATTAGGATAGTATAAAAATTAAATCAAATTATATAAGGAGAAAAATTCAACTTGTGTAATTTTATAAAAATCTTCTTATAAAATACTAAAAAATAATATTTTTCCATTAATTTCTCTTTTTTAACACGCCCAGATAGTTATGGATACCATTATGTTATTGATTCTACTTTTTGTCAATTATTTCAAGTATATAAAAACTTAATGTTATATTTGATCTATATTGAAAATTATTTCATAATTAAAATAAATACTATCAAAATAAATTAGTTAATACACTTTAGTTAGTACTTGGACAAATAATTATGCATTATACAGCATAGAATTAGATATAAATATTGATGATACCCTATTATGTGGTAAAAATAATGAAAGTAAAATTTTGTCTTGTTTATATTTTAAAATTATTAATTTTAATTTTCAAAGAGTTTTATGTTATTATATTATTGATGTGTCCATTTTATTTTTGAAACAAGAAATTCCTACGATTAATTATACTTATCACATTTTTTTTCCTAGTCATTATTATAACATTCTGACTAATAAATATGAAATGTGTATTATGATTGTAAAATTTGATAATGTAAACAAGCTGAATAATGTTGTTTTAACCTTAATCACTACTCGATTTCTAAAATACAAACAAGAATATCTCCTGATGAGTTATATAGGAACTTTTTTTATTTATTAAAATACATAGAATCAAATTGTAGATAGTCAATAACTAACAATACGTTTATTAATTCAAAATAAAATACATTATAGTCACATATATTTCCAAATAATATACAGAGGTATATGATTACTATTTATTAACGAAGTTACAGAATAGTCAAGATTTCAAGAATAATAGTTAAAGTTAACGAAGAATACAAATTCAGTTCTGTAATGTATAACAAATTTTGTTACTGAAGAATAAATTAAAACAACATAATCTATCTTAATATTATCCTTTAAGTACAAAGAAAATAATGATTGCACAAGTATAATACAATATATAAATTTAAACAATAGATTATAAAGTAAGTAGCGAAAATTAATTTGAACCAAATATGATATTAATTATATTTCGCCCATAGAATTCTTTGACAAGACATTTTAAATTTGAGCAATAAAAAGAAATTAGTAAGACGATGATCCACTATTTAAACTGTTGCGATTTCCTAGACCATTTACAGAACCGCTAGATGAACCGTATGCCCCTGATGCACTACCGCTACTACTGCCTGGTACACCATATGAGCTACTCAATCCATTGCTTGAACTACCAGATCCACCGTAACCTCCTCCTAAACCATTATTTAAACCACTTGGTAATCCATATGAACTACTTATTCCGCTTCCAGAACCACCTAAACCACTATTAGATGCTCCTAATCCACCATAAGATCCTCCAGAATTACCACCAAAACTACCACTACCACTGGATCCAACATATGAACTACCCTGGCCTCCATTAGAACCTCCAATACCACCATACGAGTTACCTTGGCCTCCGTTAGAACCTCCGATACCACTACTTCCCAAAGAGCCGCTTCCTTGTCCATAATTACCTGAACTACCCCCATTTCCATTTCCATACAAACCATCAGAATTACCTGAATTACCATTTGCTCCATAATTACCAGCGCCGTTTTGACCATTAGCACCATTACCAGATTGACGATCTCCCGCATATCCTCCAACTGGATCTGTGTACGTAATCTTTGGCTTGTATCCTTCTTCATCTGCTTCATATTCTACAATTTGTGTCCTGCCATCTGGCAATAGTACATGGTATACACCTGTTGCTTCATCACCTTGACGACTTTCCTTATGACCAAAAATAGCTCCTGATTCGGGCGCATTAACTTCATAAGAAAATTCATAATTGGCTGGTTCCTATGAAAATGTTATATTGTTTTATCAATTCTATAAACACATTCTTTAGTCTATAAATGCAATACTTATCATTAACTAAAGTTTACTAATATTTATTATTTAATTTACTAATAAAAGTATATTGATATTCATACGTTAATTAAACTTACTGAAAGAGGATCATTTTCTAAGCCACCAGCTCCTCCAAAACCATCTCCACTATTACTACCTGAAGCACCATTTCCAAATCCATTAGATGATCCATATCCACCAGCGGAACTTCCTCCATTACCACCGAAAGATCCGCTGCCGTAACTACCAGATGATCCACTACTTAATCCTCCTGAAGATGATCCTCCATATCCACCAGCTGAACTTCCTCCGTTATTGCCGAAAGATCCACTTCCTATTCCTCCTCCAGACGATCCACCATATCCACCAGTTGAACCACCGCTGATACTTCCAAAGGATCTGCTACCATATCCACCAGATGAACCACCACCAAAGGATCCACCGCCGTAGCTTCCAGATGATCCACCTCCTAATCCTCCCGATGACGAACCACTATATCCACCGGCTGAACTACCTCCGAAAGAACCACTTCCTAATCCTCCAGAAGACGATCCACCATATCCGCCGGCTGGACTGCCTCCATTACCTCCGAAAGATCCACTGCTATAACCTCCAGATAATCCACTACCTAATCCTCCGGAAGATGAACTACCGTATCCAACCCCATTACCACTAAAGGATCCGCTGCCATATCCACCACCTACTCCAACTGATGATCCACCATAACCACCAGCTGAATTTCCACCGTTACTTCCGTAACGACTATTACGTGATCCAGATCCCCCATAACTTCCTCGGGATCCTCCGAATTTAGATCCTAATGAAGAAAATCGGTTCCCAGCTCCAAATTGAGATCCATATTGATTTGCTCCACTGAAAAATGGACTTAAAGACGATGAACCACTTCCACTTCCTCCATATTGACCTTTACCACCATAACCTCCATTTTTATTTCCTCCACTGCTGCTACCTTCCCCATTGCTCCCGTATGATTGAGATTCTGCTACCACGAAGGTTATTGATAAAATCAACAAAAGTGCACACTAAAAATATTTTTTAAGTTAATTTGTGTAATTACTTATCAGATATTAAATAGTTATTGAATAAGTAATAATAATAATAATTTTTTTTCTCTAAATTTACATAAGAAAATAAAGTAATTTTAACAAGTATTCTTAGATATTTTGTGAAATATGAATAAAAATATTCAGCTTCTGCAGTTAAAATTTACTATTATATTCAGTCTCTAAAAAAAAAAAATACATGTTATGATATACTTAATTTAAAACTTGCGATATATTCAAAAAAAAAAAAAAAAATTAGTTTTTATTAAAAATTGTTAATAAAAAAAGTTCGAAGTCATAAATATTAAAATTTAAAAGAGTATTTGTCTTGTTTAAACAACTAAATTCTTAAAAGACAGTAAGTATATTATCCAAATTCCATTTTTTTATTAATAATGATTATTAATAAATTTCTCTTACCTTCATATTGTACGAGTATGAAATTGTTAGTGATACTCACTGGTTGATGAACGATTTGTAAGTAATGCTGTTAGGGATGTACCGACGGTCTATATAGTCGATGGTTGGTGATGATACGAGATATTTTACATAATGGCGTATGATGAGTAGGGAGCCACATATTAAAGCATTGAAGGTGTTTTAGGGAGTATCTTAGTCCTGTGCAAGATATCATAGATGGATTTGTTAATGAGAACGTCGCATAAAAGAGTTGGGACGCTACAATCGAACAAGGACTCAACAGATGATGGGAATAATAATGACACGACATGTCTCATCTTTCACTCGATCTTGTCGACAGCCCTGTGTATATATGCACGCAGTACATGTACCAATTGCGCAATGACTGTGTTGCTACTGCTACGAACCTATGGTTAGTATATTTGATAAATCTATTGAATGATATGCAAAGCGTTTAACAAAACTCACCTACCGCTCACTTGAAACCATTGTATTATTAATAATGGACGACTGATCTAGTTTTAATGCTTCTTCAATAACGCATTACGTTATTAATTTCGTGTTACATTACCCAAAGTAGTACAAAACCAATATCTACATGTGCTATTTTGTAGCACGTTTTAAACGTTATTTTTTGTAATTCTTAGTCTGTTTTTGAAACATCATTCAATCATAATGAAACAAGTTCAATATATCTATGTTACAATACCCAAATACACGAGTAAAAACCTCTTTAGTTTTATGTCAACCACAAACTCAATTGAAAACAAAAAAAGTATAATATTAAGCAATTTATGTCTTACGATTATTTTTTTTACATGTAATTTAAAAATAAACTGTTTTAAAATAAATCGAAATTAATTAACTTTCGTTGTTCATATCATCAGTATTCAACTAGTTTTAAGAGACAACATAATTTGGTTATGTCTATGATATTTATAGTGTACATATTATAAATATTTCTTTAATTCTTTCAAACCAAGTTACTAATTTTTTTTTAATCTGCAACAGTGTTCTAACAGTGATGTAAAGAAAAAAACTAATTAATTGTGTTTTGTTAAAATTGTTTTCATTTTTGTATCAACTGTATTATTTTTTATTAAAAAAATGGATGTATCTGGAAATATATTCTCAGATTATCCTAGGTTTACCCATCAATAATAAAATTCATTTTGTGTAATTTTAACAAAATAATTATAAAAAAGTTTCTAAACAGGTTAAAAATAGTTGTATAAATATCTTTAACTGTGTGTACAAATAAAAATTAACTTAGAATTATGTGAAAGTAAATTTGTTTTTGTATCTATATTTTTATCTATACTAAACAGTACCTATTATAATGTAGTGCTATCCTATATTAATATATAATTACTATATTTAAATAATTATTTATTACTGGATTTAAAATCTAATAATAAAAATGGTTACAGTGTCACGGATTGTATTAATTTAGCGTCTTTTACAAAATCTGGTGAGGTTTTAGGGTTCTAAAACCTTTCAATGCTATCATAACACCCTAAATATTAAGTTTTGTTTAAATATTTATTTATAAATACTTTTAGAAATAGAACAAATTAAATTATCATCCTAACACTTCGTTAAAAATTTATGAGAAACTAGATAGTTTTAGAAAACTACAATGTCTATATATTTAAATACTACAATTTCCTCTAGTTTTATATATTATTTTCTACAGATTTTTCGCAATTTTTTGGCAATGATGTTTGTAATCTATTATAAATTTCACTTATTAAAAAAAATAAATTAATGAATAAGTATAAAAATTAATTATAATTTAATTTTTAAATATTAACTATATTAACTATAGCATTACAATGATAAACAATATATTTATCCTAATCTTATGCATAGGTCCATTGCTAATCTTTGTAATATATTTAAAATTTTTTTTTATCATCAAACGATGACCTTTTTTACATATAATCGTTTGTTCTAAGCCCCGACAAAATAACGGGGCTACTTGACTGTGGAGTGTAGATACATTGTCTGTTAGTAAGAGTTATCATTACAAAAAAAAAAAATTAGAGCTTAAAAAACTTTCTTATTATATTTAATAGTTAAACATGCTTAATATTTACCTAATTGAATATTGTTATAAATAAACAGTTTTTATACCATAGGCGTATTAAAAAAAGATTTAGAGGTATAGTCCTTTTCGCCCCATCACAAAATATATTTTTTTCTAGTTACACACATATTAAATAAATATTATACACACTTAAATGTTCCAAAAGTGTAGATCCCTCTTTTTTGCAGCAAACTCTTCAATTTCAATTCGTCATGAAATTATAAATAGATTAAAATTATATAATTATAATATTCAATCGACATAAAATCACCAAAACAATTTGGTGATTTTTTAAAATTGTATTTTAGATTAAACCATAATATTATATATGATTTAATTTAATTTATATGATATATATATTTTTTCCTAATTATTAATTTAGGGTGCCTGTATTACAAAATGATTGGTATATCATAAACCATTCGATTACTCCAAAAATAAATACAACTTTGAAAAAATACATGTTTGATATTTTTCAGTTACATAAATTTTTTAATTTATTAGCTATTAATTATTTTTAGGATCATCTCTCATAATGCATAGGTTGGTTTTATATTATATATTGATACTTAATATTTTCAAATGGCAATATACATATTTAACTTATTTGTTTAATTGATAATGTTGCAATAAAGAAAATGAATGGTCCTTATAAAATATAAAAATTATCTAATTAAAAAAAATGACTGGTTGATAACAAATTTTGGACCAGTATTTTAAAGGTTATTAACATTTAAAGTAATAAATAGAGGTGTAGAGTGGTTGCTATTATTTTTATCACTAGACATTTTCCATTCGTACTCTTCCACCTGCCTAAGTATAAAAATGAGAATAACTTCTGAAGTACTGATCCAACATTTATTATTTATTATATTATTATTGGATAGTCATTTTTTGAATTAAATAATTTTCTATTTTATAAGCTAATTTTTTTTGTATCGCAGGGATACCTCACCACCTCTTCCAATCACTGAATCAACACCTTTAACTCTTTACGATAGACAACAAAATTATTCAAGGTTAGCGAACTTTTTGACTTAATATAATATCTGTATAACTTTGTTATAGTGTTCAACTTTTATTCACTCTCATTGTTAACCTAATCTANAGCGAACTTTTTGACTTAATATAATATCTGTATAACTTTGTTATAGTGTTCAACTTTTATTCACTCTCATTGTTAACCTAATCTAATTATTTAAATAGCTATTTTATTGTAATATACACTTGATATACATGTTATTACAATCAATGACCTTTGTTGCTGTGACCTTTATTTTAAAATAAAAAAGAAAATTTTGAATGTTGCCATTTTAAAAATGAAGTTGACATCTCTATTAATTATAAGGGATGATACTAAATAGTATTTAATAGCTAATAAATAAATATATGTTACTAAAAAAATAACATTTTTTTTCAATATTGTATTTATAAAGAGAATAATCGAATAGTTAATGATAAGCCGATCACTCTATATTCTGTCTTTGACACTCGTAAGGGTAGATGAGTAAAAATAGTACCCTTAAAATTTTAACCTTTACTCCAATTGAAGAAGCCTAGATATACTACTAAATATTGTAAACTTCACATTTGATAACAATAGATATCATTTCAAAACATTAATATTAATTAATATATTTTTTTTCACACCCTACATTATTGTGGGACATCCTGGAACTGCCATTAGGCATTACTTCAGGGCAGTTAATTAATGTTACCTAATATTAATCTTATTATATACTTCTAATCCTATAAATCGTTAAAAACATTTATTATGAACATATTGTTCAATCATAACGGTAGTGTATTAACTCAAAATGTTAATTTTTACTATATAGCTACAGAGTAAAATTATTTTTTTAATATAATCCTAACATAAGTATTTTAACCTAAGTTCAAGTAAACCGTTACATTGCTAATACGATAAAAAGTATCACATTAAAATAAACTATTTTTATAATTATTGATTCAGATAATTATTCATTGCGATTGTCTCAACACAAAGTTTGTATAGTATCTTATAATATTGGAAGCATAATGTATGAAATTATATGCAATAACAAACATCACAAATATATTTGACCGTCATGCAGCATTTTTTTCATTATTAATCAAAATGAGCCTACGTTCCAATTTTATGATAATAGACATCTTAATGTTGTAAATCTTAGTTCAAATAAAATTTCTTTTTTAACCTGTCTTTCGTAATGTTTTATTATTAAAATTATATTGTTATTTGTTTTTTATTTTAATTGATATTGTATTGTAATAAAACAATGTATTTATGTTTTAACATGTGAAGTTAAATTTTTTGTATTATGCTGTCAACATGAAAAAAATATTTCATAAGATGATTTATGTATAAATATTTTCGAAACAACAGCATAAAAAGTAAAGTTACTTTATAAAAGAACTAGTTATAGTTTAAATTAAATAATTTATTTAAACATTTATATAATGAAATAACATTTTCATATAAATAAATAAATATTAATTTACAAATAATTTAGAATTTAGATATTTTAATTTTGCTGTTTATTACATTAATAAACAACTATTCTGTTCGAACTAAATGGTTCACCTAATTTTACTAGTAACCACCAGTTGAACCACGTCCATTTCCACCATATTGTCTTCCACCAAAACCACCACTGCTTGGATCATTTCCGTATAGTCCGGAACCAGAAGCACCGCCATACAATCCTGAGCTTCCTCCATTTTGACCATTTAATGGATTTCCACCATAACGATTACCATATGATTCTGGGCTTCCATTTAATTGATTGTTATATGATCCGGGTCCACCTCGACTTTGACTGCCGAAAGAACCTCCGTTTTGTGAACCAAGTCCATTAGGTCCACCCAATTGGCCTTGACCTCTGCCAGAGTTGCCATAGTTACTGTTGAAAGATACCTTAGCAGCTGGTGGAGCGTTTTGATTTGGATTAAAACTTCCTCCGTTGGGTCCACCGAAATTTCCATTATTTCCAAAACCACCTAAACTATTACCATACCCACTGTTTCCTCCTAGACCACCAAACCCTCCTGCACCATTGCCATATCCTCCACTTCCTCCCTGGCTACCACCAAATCCACCTGCACCATTTCCATATCCTCCGTTTCCTCCCTGGCTGCCACCAAATCCACCTGCACCATTTCCATATCCTCCGTTTCCTCCCTGACTACCACCAAATCCTCCTGCACCATTGCCATATCCTCCTTGACTACCACCAAATCCTCCTGCATTATTTCCATATCCACTACTTCCTCCAAGACCACCACTAAATCCACCCGCACCATTTCCATATCCTCCACTTCCTCCCTGACTACCACCAAATCCTCCTGCACCATTGCCATATCCTCCACTTCCTCCTTGACTACCACCAAATCCTCCAACACCTCCCGCAGCGCCGCCGTATCCTCCACTTCCTCCTTGACTAGCACCAAATCCTCCTAAACCATTGCCATATCCTCCACTTCCTCCCAGACTACTACCATATCGTCCATTACCTCCAGCAGCACCCCCATATCCTCCACTTCCTCCAAGACCATTACCGAATCCTCCAGCAGCAGCACCACCAATTCCACCTGCTCCATTGCCATATCCTCCAATTCCTCCTAGACCATTACTGAAACCTCCAGCAGCACCGCCATATCCTCCATTTCCTCCTTGACCACCACCAAATCCTCCTACACCATTACCATAACCTCCGTTTCCGCCATTATTTTGTGATCCGACTCCTCCAAAGCCATTGTTGCCATTGCCGTAACCTGAACTACTTCCGCCGTTTCTATTGTTTCCATAACCGTTGTTTCCTGTTAGACCACCACGGCCACCATTATATGCACCGTTGTTTGATCCTCCATTTCTTCCACCATAATTTGCGGCGCCATTGCCTCTGCCATTACCATTAATATTTGATAGACCACCACTTTGGCCATATCCATTGTTTCCTCCGAATCCGCCATTATTTCCTAATTCGGAATTATTTTCGTCAAATCCATAACCAGATTCTTGATTTCCGTTTTGACCACCTAAACCTTGGCCAGAAAATCCATTTCCTGAGCCATAACCATTTTGGCTCGTTAAACCAAATCCACCAGCAGGATTTCCCTGTTGTCCATACTTATTGGAACCTGATGACGAATCTTGTCCTCCAGGTTGACCATATGGCTCGCAAATACATAATCGCATCAAACATGCGACGATTAAAAGTTTCTGAAACAATATTACATTAATAATTAAAGTAAATTGTATTCTGTTTTTTACATTAACTAACTTTGATAAATTTAAAGCGAACAAATTTAGTTTGTTCATTTTACCCTTTGTATGTAGCGAGTACGTAATAATTAAATGTGTCAAATAAATTTATATTAATAATATAAAGTTTAATAATTCAAAGTTTACACTATAATTTATTCAAAAATAAATTAAATATCAATTATTTAAGAAAATAAATATTTAATTTAAAACAACTCAATGTTTTTTTTATGATAGATTTTATATTGTTATTATTATAAAATCGAGATAAATTTATAATTCATTATAAATTTTACTGAAATGATTTTTTCTTATATTCAATGTAACCCTTAAATTTGTTTAAAATAGATTAATTAAAATGTTTAATATAGACGAGATAAATAAACTTTATTAAATTAAATTAAGTTAAATAAACTCAAGTTATTATAAGTCGTCTTACCTTTGCCATAGTAAAGAAAATTGCTTGAAGTTCTATTTTGCTGAAGAACAAATTATTCAATCAACGCACTTATACCGATAATGTAATCCACGATACGGTTTAGTGTAGTAACGGAGTTGTTGAACGTTATATACTAACCGGTAGATGCGGAATATCCGTATAAATTGGTTAAGATCTGTATACCTGACCTTCTTTCTATGATATCATTCAACCTTTCGCGTCACGAGGGTACACCAGCATCTGTCGACCAATTTTAATACACATTATGCTATTATCAGTTATTACATCACCATACATGCTCTGCATTAGTCTGCAACGTCTGTCATTCATTTTTTCGGTCTAGCCGTTATGGCTTGCATAAAGTGTTGCTCGCAAGCATTGAACCTTGAACGTTCACCGAAAATTAAGTTATAAGAAGAGACACGCGACGACAGTTATAATAAAGTGATTTCGATGACTTAACAGCCTGTCACTTATGACCACCAGCCTTCAACAATAAACCTGACCCGTCAGAATGCCGGATGATCGATAACATTCGAGCCTTTTATTTCAATTGTTTATTCAAAGTCATACTCACGGCGATATTGACCGAGCGGGTACTTAAGAAATAATAGTTGCAACTATAGAAAGCGGAAAAGTCAGTTACAATAAAACAGTCATGGATTGTTCAGTGGTTGTGATGTTTGCTCTGCTGACATTGCAAATATTTTCGGTTATCGATATTATTGTGTCACTAGTCACAGGGACTATGTATGTCAATAATGGAAGCTTGACCAGTCAAATACAAATGTTGACAACGTGTGTGCTGAGTTTAACAAGTTTAAGTTTGACCTTACTACAAACCAAAAACTTAAGGAGGTTGCGTAGATATCACGACAAATTTGACAGAGTATATCTGATTCAAAGTAGACAAACAATAGAACGCCGTGGAAGTATATGGGTGTTATGCTTAGCGGCTGTACATTTCATTCTTAAGTATATACAAATATTGGAGTTTATTAACGATAAATGGTACAACTTAGTAGTGACGACTGTAATACAGACAATGTCGGTTACAGCCAACTGTTATGTCACAAATATTTTTATGAACAATGTACTTTTAACGAAAAGGTCAGTTAAATATTAAACATTACTATCAATTGATACATGTCTTAGAAGAAATATAGTAAATACAGTAAGAAAATAATAATAATAATCTAACTGTATAGAATGCAAAAAAATATACAGTATAATTTAATGAAAGTTATATGTATATTTTTATTATTTTTTGTAATAAAACATTTTATTTTAATTTTTATTTAAGCAGGTTTAACACGGGCAATTGGAAGTTTACCCTAGTGCGTTTGAACTTAAAAACTTTACACCCTCAATTCCGCTCCAAAATACGAAACTTTAGCTTAATGCGCTTTTTTTATTTTAATAGCAATTTACATCTTACAGTTTAATATATATCTTGTTGATTTTTAATTTTAGGCTACTGCATGTATTAATTAATAAAATTATAAATTTATACGGTCTATCATCATCGAGCCATTATGTTCATAATGATTTTTCAACTATACGATCAATGTATTTAGATATACATAAGACTTGCATAATAATCATGAAAGTGTTTCAAACTCAATTGTTCTTATGCATTATTGACAACGTATATGGAATAACTTTTATGATGCTCGCTGCAAACAACATATTGATGTCTAATGAAATAAATTCATCTCGCATTACTTTATCTTGTCTTTACGAATCGATTGTGAGAGCATTTCAAATTTTTTTTATAGTGTATGTATGTTACACAACTTCTGAACAAGTACGTTAAAATTATTAAATATTATTGTTCCAAAAAAACTTAGTCATTATATACCATTTTGGTTTTCTAATACTAATATTAATTCAGGAATTAAGGGATGTGATTCATAAAACAATGATAAAAAAATGTTCTTCAAAAATTGAAATTATCTTTTCGTTGGGGTATTAATTTACAAATATTCATTATTCACTGTTAAAAGAAGTTTAGATGCTGTTTCTTATAATATTTGAGATCATTTTTTTATTTTAATTTTCATAAAACGTTTAAGTTTATAATAATTTTTAAATGACTTGTTATATCATATTTTTGGTAAAAACGAGGTGTAATATTTTATTATTAATGGATGTACATAAATAAATTAAAAACAGACCTCCCCATTCACAGGCTTGGAGTGTTTTTCTCTCTATTTTATTATTTCGTGATGCCATACTCATAAAATTTGACATCGACAAGATTTTTTTAAAGAGGTGGCTAAGACCTTTTTTTTGCTTATCTCATGCTTTTACAAGAATCATTTATATACTAATTAATAATTAATTAATAGCCTTTTTAGCACCTCTCTTGGCTTTAAATTCAATTATGGTTTTAGTGTTATTATGATGCATTAAAATTTTCAACAGAACATTAATTAATATTAATTTTTTAAGTTGAACAATTAGTTATAATTTAAAACTATTGTTGAACTTGTGATTTGTAACTTATAAAATATTTGATTATAATAATTAAATAATAAATGTTTAACTTATAAATAACTTTTAATTAATATACCACACATTAAATTGCTTAAAAATATCGCAGGCTCGCACAATTCCAATTATGTTGCAACAGAAAAACAATGAATGTTACTCTTTGTTATGTAATGTTAAAAAAAAAGTGAGTATTTTTTTTTAATTATCAGTGCAAAAATGATTAATAAATTTATGTTTTAATAAAGTTATTCTCAAGGAATTATTTTTTTTTTTAATCCGAACTCTGTGTATTAATACAAATAGTTTTTTTCTTTGTTTATTAATAGACTGAAAATTGTATGGGATTTTAATTAATTTCAATTTTGAAAATTAAAAATTTTACATAGATTATCAGTTACTGTAATTTACTTTATTTTAATTTAAGAACTAAATAGTTTACTATATTTAAAGTTTTATTTACAGGTAAATGACTTTGTTCTAGAAATGTTAGACTTAAAGATTGACTTTATTATTTATGGTTTTATACAGCTTGACTTTGCCATGTTTATTTCAGTGAGTGTATATTATGTACGTTTTTAAAAAAATTTCCTTGAAACTATCATTTGATATTATTTCAGATAATGGGTTCGATAGTTACGTACCTCTTGATTTTAGTTCAATTAAAAACTGCATCTGCAAGCGTAACACTGTCTAAAAATGACACTATTAGATCAAATTAAAAAATTATTAATTTATTGTTAATATAATATTAAATATAATTATACCTTTTTTGTTGTTTTGTGATACTTGCATCTTATAGCTAGAAATTTTATTATAGTTCTTACAAAAAAAAATTAATTTTAAATTTGACATTAAAATTCTTTTTCGGGGATTGTAGGGACCATCGTGAAATTAAATCATCATCAAAATCATGTTAAAGTAGGTGTTTTATTAAAAATCATATTAAAAATATTTTTGGGTTGAAGTAAAATTTACTTATTATAAATTAAGTTTTTGTGAATGTAAATAAAAATTTTAATACTTCAATGTATTTTAATAACTATTTAATGTTTTATGTTATTTGTTTATAAACAACTGATATTTCAGTAAATTGTAACTTAAATTATTGCAATAAGTCTGTGATTTTTTAGCTAAGAGGAATATCTAAAAAAGTTATTTTAAAAATGTCGAAACTAAATTTTGAAAATTTTTTTTATTTGTATGGAGCCTGGATTTTTTTGACGTGCCTAGTTATGTCCAAACATAAACAAACTTTTTATATTTAGAGAGTTCAGTAAGTAAGGAAAGGGCTCTCACTGTTTATAACAATTGATCTGTTTCGTTACTTACTGAACACTTTGTATATGAATCTCCGACCACAAATTCACATTTTTAAATTTCATTTCCTGTTGCCCAACATCATAAAAATATGATCCTCTTCTAACTTTTCAACTATTTTTAAGAGACAGTTAATATTTAAATCTTTTTAAATAAATGCTGAAATTTTAAGTGCCTTTCTCTTCCTGGAATATTTCTAAACACTACTTTATCTAGAAACAAATTTCAAAAGTTCAAAAAAAAGTTGCTTGAATCGAATTTCTATTTAGCAATATTATACTTTATGTAAGACACATATGGTCTCAAAGGAACCTTCGTGTTTTACATTCAAAATTGGAAAACACAAGTAAATTAAAATATTTTAGTTTTCACCAAAATAAATTATCCGTAATCCTACATTACATAGTTGTGCTATATTTTTAATTTATATCAAGGCTAATCGATTTTCATAAAAACGATATGTAAATTATTTAACTTAAATTTATTTAAAACTGCTGTGTTCCTCTGCATCTTAATAAATGATTTAATGTTCGTGCATTATGTTAGATGAACAATGTAGTTAATTAAAATTTTAGCTTACTCAAAAAATAATTAAAATAAATTGATAACAAATAGCAGATGTTTTTATAGATTGATAACATTATCTTGACATTTTACTTAACTTCTTACTTTTGAACCTCATAAATGATGCTTTGTTCTTATAGTTGTCTAGGGTTCTTATTTTTGCTAAAATTATTTTAGAATCTATGTTAAAACCGTTTTTTATGTTTATATTATAGTTATATTTAATTTTTTATATAAATTTATATCTAATGGATAAACTAGGAACTGAAACTAATACTTCAGTCACTGACATTTATAATGTACGAGAGTTTAGAAAAAACAATCAAAAATGGTGTTGTAGTACTGAACAATGCCCTATGTGTCATAATTTTCAAAAAAAATTTTATTGTCAAAATTGTGTAAGCAATGGTGATTTTGGTCATTCTTCTTTGGAAAAAGGAAGGTAAGTAATGTGTTTGAAATTTTAAGCTTATAAGATTTTAGGGAACTGAAAATTGTCAATTGTCAACTTCAGTAAAAAACGAATTCCAATAAAATCTAAAATTCTATTGTGTACTTTTCTGTATATAGGACACATATTAATGTATGTTTTTTTTTACCAAACATTTTTTTATCTCTTGAAATTATTCAGTAGTTAATTTTTTCTTTTTATTATTTAAGCCTCATTGTAATATTTTATGCATTATTAAAATATTATTATCCAAATCATTATTCAAAAACAAAACAACCTTACTGTTTAAATAAGATCTAAAGCAACTTTTCAATTAGTAAAATATTACTAGGAACAACATAACTGTTTTCGCCCTGAATTATGAGAATGATTATTGTTATGTTTTTAAGGACCGAATTTAAATATTATATTATAAGTTAAGCAAACAATTAAAATTTTATTGAAAGTAGAGTTTATTAAAAAATATTTGTAAACAAAGCTACTATTTACAATTATGAATCACATGTAATACATTTCATTATGTACTTTTTGTTTCTTAAATTAATTTAAAAAAATGTAACTGATCATTAAATTTTATTACATACACTGTTTATATATTAAGATATGCATTTTTATAAAATAATGTTACAGTTAATTTTTTTGTTTTAGGTTTTCAAAAATGCACTTAAAGTTTAAAAATATTGTCTGCAGTTGCGAATCACTAAAAACAGAATGCACCAAATTATTTACCAAAAAACATCACACTTTACTTAAGGTAAGGTTCAAACAACTCTCAGTGTTCTAGAAAACTTTGTATGTTAAAATATTTAAATTAAACACATTATTGTATTCAAATAGATAAACTGGTTGAGGGTTATAATTTAAAATATATAAATTTTTATGGGATGTTATTATTTAATATTTAATATATTTTATAATGATACAAAACTATTTTTTTTTTAGAGAAGTGAGGTATCCATATTGCAAGAGAAAATTAAATTATTAAATTTATCAATCATGGATAAAAATAAAGTTATTTTAGATAGTAGGTTTTGCATAAACTTAATTTTGTATTATTAAAACACGTAATCATTAAAACATTTTTTTTTAAATTTATACTTTGCTTTATATTTCTAGAAAAAAGTGCCTTAAAAAAATTAAAAACTGAAATAGATAGTCAAAAATCGAGAGTTGATCGATATAGTAGGCGGGTAGTTCGACTAGAAGATTTCACCAAAGGGCAAGAAGAAACTTTAAAAGAAAAAACTAATGAATTGTGTACTATACAACCTGATTTAAAAAACATAATACGTACACGTATTAAACAGTTAGTGACTCATATATTTTGCTTAGATGAAGTACATCCTACTGTTATACCGTAAGTAAAATAAAAATTTGACAATTATATTAATTTAGTAGCTGTAACATTTCATGTTACTGTTTTAGAAGTGAAGAGTTACAGGCAAATAGTAGTATTAGTAATGCTCTAGCAGAAGCTTCTAAATTAACATATGTATGTGGTCAATGGGTTGATACTTGTGATGAATGGTCAAGACAAACTGAACTTGGATATAGAATTGTTGCTCCTACCTTACCAGCAAATGGAGACTATTCATCATATTATGAATGGGGTTAATATTTAAATTTAATTTACAATTAATTAATATACTTTACATTTTTTTTTTATTATAGTTTCAGATAAAAATAAAGACTATGCTTTTCATCAATCATTAGTTGAACCTAATCCTGCTTGTACAATTAGTGCTGCATTGACCTATACTTCTCAATTAGTTAAACAATTATCATTTTTTCTTGATATATTTTTACCTAGACGACAAAATATAAGGTATTGTTTTGTCTTTAATTTAAAACAGATCATTTTAATCTATTAAATTTGTTTTGATTTTTTAGTGAATTTTGTGGAAATGAATTAAACGAAATAAAATTTTCAAAATATGTTACCCATTTAAATGCAAATATTTTATATTTATGTTTCTCTCAAAATGTTGATCCAAAATTATTGAGTCCTGATCACACATTGAAAAATTTACTTCACTTACTTAATACAAATGTCAGTGATTTAGGACGGTATGTTATTCATATTTATTTTTGTAATGTTTAAATTAATTGTGAAAGATTTTGTATAATATGTATCTCATTATTTTCAAATTTTTATTAATGAATGATTATTGTAGAATTTAAAATATTAAATGATACACAGGTTGTAGTATATAAAATAAATGATTAATTGAATGATAAAAATTGATTTTTCTTACAAATCTTATCAGCTTACCTTTGAAATTTTTTATTTTAATGCATCTGAATTATGTCAAAATTTATTACTTGCATTGAAAATTACCTATACTGGAGTGTATGATAAACAAGTGACTTTATTTATTTTTTAAATATTTTTAGCCCCGTGTTTTCCTAATTTAATTGACTAAGAATTTGCTTTAATTTAATTATTAAAAAGTTCTATTTTACTATTGCCCCAAAATTTAAATAAATATGAAACAGAATTTAATAGTTATATTACAGTATAAATTAAAATTTAGGATTGACTCAGTGAGTATTGATGCAAAATTATGTAATGCTTTGGAAGAAAAAATTGTTATGCAGTTACATTCATTTAGTGGCGATTCTGACTCTGAAGATGACAATTATTATGAGTGGGAAGCTGTGAGTGAATTATTCAATGTTTTTGGATCATCTAAAATTAAATTTTTATTTTATTTTTAGGTTCCGAATGTTGAATACCCTGCTGATCATAATCAAATGGCTTTACAGACAACTAGTAGTGTTGTAAGAGCAGGCCTTGTTGCAAGTACTGCAGCAAGTATAGCATCAATATGGCGTGGATGGACTACTAATCGATAGATTTTGTATTTGAGAGATACAAGGCGTATACTTAATTATTTAATTGATAATTTTTTTAATACAGATTAGTCATACTTTTTGCACATATTTTATTAAAAAATGTTTATTGTTAAGTTTATTATTTAGATGAAAAACTATTTTGTTTTTACAACTTTATTATAGTTATATATATATATATATGTGTGTATATATAAATAGTAATTGTAAATAAATAAATAAATTAGTGCTTATTTTTATATTAAAAATAATTAATCATGTACCTTAACAGTGTTTTCAAGAAATTAGTTCTTACAGAATTTCTCATCTATGCTGTATTTTTCATACATATAATAATAATCTTTACCAATTTTATATTTTACTAATAAAACACATTTTAATTTTTAATAAATATCTTTAAATTAATCAAATAATAACTCAATTATTTCAATAAAACATTTATTTTTCATCATTAATATACATAAATACATATAAATTAAAAATAGAAATTTAAAGTAACATAGAGGTGCAGTACCTTGAAATAGTTGTAAAGTTTAGGAAGTGTTTTTATATAAAATAATTTTTTTATTAATTTAAAAATGGATTACACAATCAATAAAGTTATGCAATCTAAGATAAAGATTACTGTAGTTCTTTTATTAATTTATAAAACATTAATATGTTACCTGGAGAGCTTAACCTTTTTTTAAACATTCTTAATTATAGTTAGTTCTTTAAAAGAAGTAAAAAACTGAAGTATATCATCGGAAAAAATATTAATCATTTAAATGAATAATTAATGATTTAAAGTAATTATTTGAAAAATCTCATTTCATACTTTATGCCAAAACAATTTTCAAATATGAAAATTAGTTAAAATTATAATTTTTTTCAATATGCAGTATCCAGGTTTAAAAATAATTTACCACAATATAACAATTAAATAACCCATGTACACAGTTCATAAATAATAATTATCATTTGTAAAATACGATGTATTTTATGGAGTCCATGCAGGATCAATATCAGAATCTTCAGACTCTTCAGTTGCATCCACATTGTTCCTTATTGCTGTTTTGACTGTAGTTACAGTTTTAGATTTAGCTAAACGCTGTGATGATTGTCGACGTTTTGGCTGGCTTGATGTTCGATTTTGAGTTTCTATTAATTAAAATATATGATTATAATGTCATTCATTTTTGAAAATAATTATACAAATCTAAAAAGGACTGACAAAGTTGGAATCTTATATTTTTTGTATACATTATATATCAATATATTAAACTAGCAAGTTTATAAATATTCTGAAAGAATATTATTTTGAAATTATTTTGAGTTTAAAAATACATAAAAAAATACTAAAACTGATATTACCATGTTACCACTGACTTAGTCACATCATTCTTTTTTTCACAATTTCAGTTTATTGTCATCTCAAGAAATTAACTCTAGTATTAGATTAATTATTATTGTTGATTTGTAATTTTTTTTTTATAAAGCTTAATTTAAGCTTCATAAAAAAAAAGTTAACAAGTTTAAAATACAATAACAAACTTTTTAAATTTTATAACTTAAAACATAGATAAAAAACAATTTTTTTAAAAAATAAATCATTACTTACTTATGGTTTTTGATTCCAAAATTGGTGTTATTTTATTTATTTTCATATTTTTTGATGATATATTTTTTGATGTACTTTTTAAATTACGAACATTATTAACAGTGGTATTCATAGAAGTTGTAGTAGTAGACTTTTTACTCCAGCAGTCATCATCACTGTCTGAAGATGAAAAACGGCATGTAGATTTTGCTAAAGGAAAATATCTTGGATCATCATCCAGTGTTAGAGAATTTGAAGTGTTGCATTTTGTATTATTTTTAATTAGATTATGGTTATTTGGTGATGTGGTTTTTTTAGTACTAGCAGATAACGGTTTGGCACTATGTTGAGCAAGTGGTAAAAGAAGTTTTTTAGCAGGTGGAGGAACATTATTTTCACGTGTTTCTTCATTTCCATTTAAAAATTTTAGGTAACTATCCATAAAAGAAGGTTTTGAGCATTTGACAATTGGTAGACTAGGTGATGTAACGTTATTTGATAAATTGTTATTAACCGGAATAGATACAAGATGGCTAAGTTCTAATTCAATATCAGGTACAACAACTCTTGATGATGGTTCTAAAGAAGTTAATTGTTGTTGCATTGGTGCAACAACATTTTGTTGATTTTGTACTTGTACATTATTATTATAAAGATTTACAGAACCACTGTAATAAGAGTTTGGGTTATTATAAGTATTTTGTACTTGAGTTGTATTGTTATTATATTGATGTGTTTGAGTTTGAGATTGTGGCCAGCGTTGTAGATCATAGAAAGATGATGACATAGTAGAGATATTATTTCGATTTGTTATAGGAAGTCTTTCGTTGTAATAAGATTGTGGTGATGCTGAAACTTGTGTAGTATTTTGTTTTAAACGCATTTGGGCTCCTTCTCGGTTACTATTATGAGCATGATGATCTATTGGTTGAGGTTGAGAAGATGTAGCTCCATTACTTTCAAAGTAATACAAATTGGAGGATGTATTACCAGTATTTGCATTATTTGATAATTGAACTGTATTACTGACTTTGGATTGGTAATAGTTATTATTAATAGTATGTGGAATTGATGAATTGTGGTTGCGTTGTGTAATAACAGATACTACTTGTGGTGTTTGTTGAACAACACTATAAGTTTGATTATATCCATTAATGAACTTATTGTCAGATGTATTACCATGTGTTAACTTTCGATGATTTGAATGAATGTTGTAAGGAGGTGAGGTAGTTGATGAATTAATAGATTGTGGTAGTAAAAGCGGAACTGCAGCAGTATATTGCTGTTGATGAAGCATGGTAGCAGTACCATTTAAAACATAGCATTGAGGTCCTACACCACCTACTCTAGCTGATGTTGTTGGTGGTCCGATTGAATGGTCCATTTTTTAGAGTTTTTATACAAGCATGTTCCTACTCAAATTAAAAAATTAGTCAATTTACAAAATAAATTTTTATTTGAATTAAAAGCTGATTAAAAACAGATATTTAGTTATAAACTAAAAATATTTTTAATTGTTAATAGAAACACTCACTTTTACTTACAAAGGTTTTTAATTTTTTTAATTTTGGCATTTGAATATTAGATTTAGGATTTGGAATGTATTGTTACGTCTTGTTTTGTATTGGATACATATATAATTTTATCAATGACAACAGGCAAATGTTATCTTTTTCTAAAAAAGAAGATTTGTTCTTATATTATTATTGATAAGATGGAGGCACGATTAAATTTCAATAGGTCTTTATCGTCAAAGTAAAATCTATGTTTCTGTTGCATTTATCGTGTTTTTCATATAATATTGAATAAGTTAATAAGTAAATTAAGTCTTTTTCATGTCAAAGTTTTATCGTTATATATATATTTATAAATCTATTATATCATTCTAAACTTATTACTAGTTAAAATAAAAATACATTTTTATAAATTACTTAGTACAAAAGTATTTGGTTTTCCACGTCTCAGAAATTTTGTTTTATTTAATGATATTTACCTGTATTTGTTGATATTTTTTGTGATCATCACACGAACTTAGGAATAAAAGTAAGATTTTATTTTTATTAACCATTCTAAAAACCCAACACAAAACTTAGATAATTAAGTTTTTATTCATATATATATATACTCCTAAAAGATTTATTTAATACATACATTTAATTTACATTAAAAATTTATTTAAACTTCTAATAGGAACTGTAAACTAAATTTTGAAAAGTTAGTTGATGTTTTAGCAGTTCTATAATTTTGTATTTATTTAATAGGCTTAAAATTGAGTTATAATGGTAAAGCACTTATGCCCATTTGAAAATTGTTCATTGAGCTTTAGCCGTCCATATCGTCTACGTATTCATATTCAACGCCACAGAGGAATTAAAGAATTTGGATGTCCTATGTGTGATCGTGGTTACCATAGACAACAACATTTACAAAGACATATAGTTGAAGCTCATCAAAACCAGCCTCGTTTAGAAGAAGCATTACCTTGTGATCATTGTGATCGTCTATTCAATACTAAATGGGGTTTACAACGACATCAAGCAAGAATAAAAAACCCTATAGAACGCATAAGAAGACATTGTTGTAAAGTTTGTGGAAAAAAATTTTTTACAAATCATGATCTTGATAGACATTCTCTTCGGCATGACCGATTTAAATGTGATATGCCCGACTGTCCATTATCTCATAGAGAGTTCAATTGGTTGTTATATTCTAAACATATGGAAAAGTATCATTGCGAGCCTTATTCATGTGAACACTGCAATGAACAATTTCTTCACAAGTCTCAAATAAGAATACATGTTACAAAACATATGCCTTGTTTCCCTTGTACTGAACCAGGCTGCAATAAAACTTTTGCATTGAATAAAAATCTCCTTGATCATATTAAAGTTGGACATGGAGAACGTATTTATAAATGTGATGTAGTTGGATGTGATTGGGATTTTAAGTATAAAATATGTTATAAAAGACATATTAAATTACATGAAACAAATGGAAAAATTGTTCCTATGGTAAACAGAAAAAATAATTTACCAAAAAAAAAATCTAAACCTTGTATGGCAGAAAAACTAGCATCTTTAGCATTAAAGTACGAGATAAAAAAAATGTAAAAATAAATTGATAACTTTACATGTACTCTACAGCAATATTAATTTTTAAATATTTTTTTTGTATTAGTAAATTATTTGTTTATTTGTTTTTAGAACATCTTATGTAATTTCCTCAGATTCCCAAACAAGTCTTTTAGCTATATCTTCAAGTCTTATCTCAGCCAAATTTTCTATTTATAAAATCAGATCTCTCATTTCTTTCACCAGTTCTCTTAGAAAATCAGTTCTTTTCCATTGAATTTCTACTTATGTAGGTATTTTGGATTATGAAATAGTAGACTTTATCATTTCTTTTCTAATTTATTACTTTTATCTTTTAACTCTATTCTTTTTAAAGACTTTCTATTCTCTTTCTTTTCATTCGTAAACTTTTTCCAAGTGCTTGGCAATGTAAATAGTCTGCTTTACCTTCAAAATATGTCAAATGGTTCAGAAAATTTTGTTTCATTATATTTCTTTGTTTTATTGTTATTTTTCCACATTAGAAATTTTATTATTAAATATTATCGTCATAGATTTGGTCACAGTTAATACCAGCTCATGCTTGTTTTTTAACTCTTAAACTGTTCTTTACTCACTAAAAATAGTTAGTCAATGTTTAGCTATACATAATATCCATTCTCTCTCCTGATAATATTTTCATATCTCTATCATAGTTATTCAATCTATTATTTTCTTTCTCCAGAGTGAAAATATTTAAATGAGTTTAATTTATATTCAGTATTTACAATGATCAAGGAGTATTATTATAAGAAAGAATTTTAATAAATAAGAAAAAGTAAAATGTTATCTTGAAAAATGCTCAGAACCCGCATTATACTATTATTATTTGCTATAAATACAATTTTAGAACAAGTAGAATTATTAAATTAAATTTTGTAAAATTTAGTCTCATAAGTATCAATTTGGATGTAAAATAAAATATTTTGATTTTTAATATGACATTTTTTTTAAAATTTAAATACAATAATTGATACAAAAGTACTTCATTAATCAAATTTAAATGTAAAATGAACAATGTAAATAAATACACTGGCGTTATTTCCTCCACATTGTTGAATCCAGATAAACTTAAAAGGGGACTAGAGTCCTGTCATTTAGTAACTTCCTTGACAATTACGGGGTGATAATGATAGTATAACTATATTTGAAAATTGACTGGGGTTGTTTCAGTATTAAATTGAAAACCACTTTTTTTTTTTTTTTGGAATAATCTTACAAATGCAATTTTTTTTCTGCTTGCTCTAATTCATAGAAAAAAAATCTGTATTCAACGCTGTCTAACTATAACAAAAATAATTATATAGCGAAGATAAAATTTTTTTTTTTTAGTTTAGAGATTGAGTGAAAAATTTTCTAATATTTCCATAAGAAACCCTAATTTTGCCACAGCTCTAAATTTTTTATCGATATACGTCCAATAATATTTTTGTTAAATAAATAGTATTATTATTAAACAATTTTTTTTGTTGATATAACAAGTTATTTGAAATTTTTTAATCTTCTAAAAAAAGTAATGATTAAAGTTAAAAAAGTATATCTTTTTAATAATTAAAATAATTTATTATAAAAAGTTTAAGTACAAATATCTATTTCAAGTTTGTTTACTTATTTTTATACATAGGTAGGTATATAAAACTATCATTAATGGACATTTAAATTAAGTATAATTGTCAACTGGGACGTGGATATGTTCTTATAATCTGAATTCTGGATGATTATTGGTCAATAGTCAAAACGTATAATATGACTCTTATAGTGAAAAATTTGGAAATGCTGTTTGTATATTAAAATAATTAATAATGTTATAAATGTAGAAGTGTTTCAGTCATTAATTTTAAGTTTTTCATAATTTAGTTAATGACTTAAAATAAAGTGTTATTAATTTAATGTCAATATATGGGAGTGAAAATTATTTTGCGCCCTTTAATATTACCTAATTTTTTGCTAATAAAAAAATTTTTTCTTGTAATAATGAAAATACTTTTCCTTATATCTTTGACAAACTATTACCCATAGCTTGATTAAAAAAAAGTAAATTAACTAAGTTAAATCATACATTTTTTTTTCTTAGTAAATTTCTTAAGTTAGAGTATGTTTTCACCTTTATACATTGAACGTGTAATATTATTTTAATAATAGATGTATCTTATTCTTAAATTAATCTCACTAAAAATTATAGATAAAAAAAATTAATAGTGGTTTTAAAAATAGGCTTCTAAACTTATTGAATACTTTATATACACGTATATGTACATATATAAAAAAATTAAATTAAATGGTCTAAAAGAGTGCACAACACATTGAAAAATTCAATTGAATAATTTATTCAAAAAATCTATTCTAGATTCTGAATCTTGGTTTTTTTTGCTGTTAATAATTATGTCTTCTGGTTGTCTTTGTCTTTGTTGAACATTTAAATTTGAACACCGAGAAATCCTATTTTTTTCACTTTTAATAATATTTGAAGAGAAATGATTAGCTTCTCTTTTAACTTGAGAAACTTCTGCTCTAAGACGATGTTTTCGAACAGCTTTTTCATAAGCTAATCGTTCATTTAAATGAACCCATTTGAATCTAAAAAATGAAAACTATTAATTGAATAGTTATTATATTACTAATCAATAGTAATTATTCATTAGGTAATTTTTAAATATATTTTTTTATTTTTAAATTATTGCTAAAATTAAAAGTAGAGAGGAAACTTAATCCAAATATCAATTTATTTATTAACAAATATTTTTATCAATAGAATAACTTATTTTACTTAAAATAATATGTCCAAAAAACTTTTTTACTTAAATATTTAAATGTTTTTTAGTATTTTGAATTATTTATAATACAACATTTCTTTTTTAAACCGGTTTATAATAATAAAAATTATGCAACTAAAAATGACTTGAAATATAATATTCCCCTAGTAGGTAAAAAAATAGTTTTTTTTATTTTAATTTAATTCTAAGTAGAATTTTTACAGATTAATTTTCTGACTTTTAATAGCATACTAACACAAAAGAAGATAGGATAAAACTTGAACCTTTAAATTGGTAAACCCAACCTATGAATTTTAGTTTTATTTTAAATAAAATGTAAAAGTATAAAAAAGTGGAAAATGATGATAGCTAAAATGTTTAATAATTTAAATTAAAAAACTTAGTTATGAATTTGTACAACTTAAAAATTATATCATAGATGAATAAATAAAATACTTACTTTTATAAATAAATATATATTTATAATATAAATAGTTTTCAAATAAAGTTTCATTGATCCACAATCAAATATTAATAACTTTTACGAATGTTATATCTAAAAAATATGTAATACCTATACCTTGGTAAATATTTTAAGTTCCATACACTGTCAAAATATTTAGACCTTTTACGAATATCGATTCTTCTTCCATTTAGTAACTCAGCTACTTGCTTTGCAACCTTTTTTTTTTCAAACTCTACCCATCCTTCAGTGAAATGTTTGGCAGGCCTCTTCTTTAGTTTAGCTATAAAAATGTTTTATATAATTTAAAGAATAAAAAATTTAAGAAAATATAACATCAATAATTAATAATAAAATTATTTATTAATTAATTACGGTTAGTAGCTGGTTGTAAAAATACTCTTCCAATATTTCCGTATTCTTCTAATAATTCTTTGATTTTAGTTACATTCATATATTTGGGTATTGTTGATAAATAAACTATTCCTTTCTTACTATTTTTACATTTTTTCGATTCTAATGAAACAATTTCTTCGGAAGAAATATCTTCCATAGTTTTAACAATTTTGATTTGAAAGATTCTGTAGGATTTAGATACTTCACAATTATTTATTCAGTACTTTAACTGTTCATGATAGTGAGCACATGCATGCAAACAGGGTTGATAGATGTTACCAACTTGAAAAATTATAGTACTTTTTTCAAAATTCCATATATTTTTTGCCTGGTTTTTGATTAAATTATTTTTCATCGCTATTATATTTATTTTTTAATATAGAATTTTAAAATATGTATTTATAAAAACAAGTACATTTATTAATTTAAATTCAGTAACAGAAAGATGTGATAAAATTAGGAATTCAAATATTTAGTGTATTATAAAAATTATTATGTTATATGGTACCTCATGTAAGAATATGGTATGAATACCATAATAATTGTACTTACGGCCACTCTGATTACAAATAGACGTGCTATCACAAATAAGATAATCTCATCTGTAGTAATATTGACACTATAAACATATAACAAAATATATATTATATGGTTAATTATATTGTGTGTGTATTAAAATTATAAAAGCAGATGTTTTACACGCTACCATCTTTGGCACCCATATGGTATAGAATTGTAACACGTACTATTATTTAATTTTAATTTATGTTAATAATTAACATAAATTTTAGAATAATTATTATACTATCGATATTTAATAAAAATTCAATTACATATTTTTATAGTCCATATACGGATCTAATCATTTTTCAATGATATTTGAATAGAGCAGTATGTAATAGCCCACGATTATATATTCTAAGAGAGTAGATAATCGAGGTAATAGCTTAACAATTTTTCAAAGAATTCTTATATTTTTTTGGTCTTAATTTTAGTACTGTCATTTTGATATTTCATAGTTAATGATGTTAATTTAAGTAATTTCATACCAAAAGTAATTTTTTTTTCTTTAATAAATAAAGTTTTTTTAACTTTTTACTGAGAGGAATTAAAAAAAAAAACACTAAATAGCATCTTGGAGTACCTATGCAGGGAACTCGTAAATCCCATTAAAGTTAACATCGTAATTAACGTGATTTTAGTCCTTCTAGAAAAAAATATTTTTCTTCATAAAAAAAGTTTAAAAATGAAATGATTTGGCAATATTTTGATGAGTATTTTAAGTAGAGAAATATATTAAATTATCGTTTCTAAAGAAATTAAGAATAATTTAAGCCGTATTTTTGAATAGAGGCAACACTTTTGAGAAGTGTGGGTGAGCATAACGTCTATTCTTTAACTTAACAATTACTTTCTTTTATATTACTTTATTCTTTTTCCATATTTACTATTGTACCAGCGTATAAAATTTTGGTAATAAAAAATAATGCGGAGAGTTATCAGTATTAATGTGCTTAACTATTTTGAACATAATTATTTTTGAGAAGACTTTCATCGTTTATTTAACCATAAACTTGTTTGCTAAATTTTCCTTAGGTTAGCAGGGTTGACACATTTTTAACACCCAAAATTTCAAAATATACATTGATCTTATGGGATGTTTTAAACAAATATTTAACAACTCTGTAGAGTAGTAAAAATTGACCATCCTACACTAAAGTATGCAATACAATAAAACAATATGTAAAGCTATGTCAGCAACTTAGTCTCTCAACAATTTTGAACATTTTTCTATTGTTAATTAAATTTTTTTTAGAACAAAAAAATATTTTTAAAACATAAAAAGTGAAATGATTATGAAAAGGGAAATGTCCCAAAAAATTACAGTTGTCATAAAATAGTCAAAGTAAATAATTTTAGTTTCACTTAATATTGAAATTACTTTTTGAAAACTGGATGGATTAATGAGAATTTTTTATTGATATCTTTTCGTACATTAGCATTACTGACGATATATTATTTTGAAAAACCAAACAACTATGGGTCTTGAAAATCATATCAAATATTTTTTTTCAATTCTTGATAATATTCCGAATACCTGACTGCTTTTACCTACATAAATTTATGGCTAATATAAAATACTTTGAGATGAAAATAAGTAGTATTCGAAAACTTTGTTAATTGGAGCTATTGATTTATTAGTCTAAAAATCATTTATAGAATTTTCAGTGGTCATATTAAAATGTTATCTTACTTTCAACATACTTTTTTTGAAAATCCGATCATTTACTTAAATGGTGGAATGGACATAATCATCTAATCAGATTTTTTTCTTTTTAATTTTTTATAATACTTCAAAAAACTTGATTTCTTTAAACTTACGTCGAATTAAGGCTAATAAATATACTTTAAGAAAAAAAATTATTACATATATTTTAGTATAACTTATTTGACTATTACCCAAGTTAATAATCATAGTGAATTATATAACTTATATATTGTATTACAAATGAAGTCTTAAATAGCATGTAATAATTTATATGATACTTTTTATTAAAGGTTTTTTGAAAACTGTTTATATATACTTTCAGAATATAATCATTATTATAGATAATACGACATTTATAAAGTATACCTGATTTTAAATATATTGTAATGCTAAATTCGTATCATAAAAATTTGTAAATGAAGTCTAGCTGAGAAAACCGGTTTGTATTTGATTTCATGAAGTAAATGTAAAAGAATGTCTGGTATACATTGGTGTTTCTTTTGACTGTTAATTCAAATAACTTGGAGCGGCTGGTAGATGATGAATAGTATGTAGGAACAAATAAGACGAAAAAGAATTAAGCCAGCGGCTCAAACAAGAATTAACGACATAAGGTCGAAAGTAAATTCCTTTTTGTCCAAGCCTTACATAAATTGTATTTTTAATAAAAATGCATTAAAATGACATTATGAATTTATGCATTCTTAGTCAAAGGATTTTCTAAATAGATTTTATGCAATGTATGTTTTAATTAGAGGAACCATTAATTCCGATTCATATAGTGGCAATCTTATTATTTTATAAGCTATAGAGCAGTTTTAAAGCAATTTCTTCTATCTTTTACATCAGTTATATTATTTTTAAGTTTGGATCTATAGTTTAACTATTATTATGGTTCAATTATAACTAGAACTTGGTTATTAATACATTTATAAATTATTGAAAATAAAATTTAAGAGTCATTAGAAATTCTTCAGAGAAATTTGGCCTAGCTTTTAGTAACTTTATAAAATAATTAAAACGTTGTCTTTACAATTTAATAAAATTTCTTGTGCTCTAAAGTATACAAATCAATATCAAGTTTTATGAAATAAATTTTATACATAATATTTATTATAGAAAAATAATAAAATAATTTGAGTGACTTTTCTTTAATAAATATTTGCACTGTATCCCTGATAATATTTTGTAAAATATAAGTTAACATATAACATTATTTTTTATAATTACTATCTGTAATCAAATGAACAATTAATAAGAATTAGTTAATTGATAAGTAGAAAAGCACAAATACAGTTTATTAAGGTAATACAATAAATTAGTAACTTAATATAAAATAATCAATTTTAATAATTTTTAAAACTTACTGTAATTAAATCTATATAGGTAAATATATATTTATAACTAAAATACATTATATGGCAATAAAAAACATTCTTATACCTAGGAGGCATTTAAAAAACTATTTAAACCTTGTTTAACACTAGAATAATATTCTACAACTATAATAAAAACAAACCATTAGGTGTTAATTAATTTTGACACCGAGCTGTTAGTTGGCGGTGTCCATTTTTTAGGGGGTGCCATATTAGGTGTGTTTGTTACACTTAAACCATTGTTTCCAGAAGACGATCTACGTACTGGAATTTTAGATGGTGATACTACAAGATTTCCTTGTATCGTACTAGTAGATGCAATGGGAGATTTATGGGGTTGTATTACTCTAGGTACTTTTGTAGTGGATGCAGAGATTTTTTGTTGTTCTGAAGGTGAATTTTCTGACGTGTGTAGCACTTTTGAAAATGATTGATGCTCTTTGATATCAGGAGTTACGGGTGACTTTGATTCAGACTTAAAATTATTGCTTAATGTGATTGGTTGAGTTTCGATTGGTTGTTTTTTTGTTTGTGTTGCATTATTTGAAGCAATAGTCTTATTACCTCCCTCACATGTATCATAAATATCATGGAAATCATTTTGAATATCGCCGTTTAAGCTAATAGGCCTCCGAGGCGATACTGGATAAATGTTATCCATATCTTCATCGGAAGATGGTATAGTAGTGTCTTCAATTAATATTCCACTGTCGGTTATATCATTGATATTATAAGAAACACCATCTTCCATGCTACTGCCTACTGTACTATTATCTGTATTATCCAATGCGAACTCATCATTTTCATTTATACTGTCAACAACTTTGACGTGGTCGGATGACGGTGATTTTTCAATTTCAATTTCTTGGCGGTTACCTAATGCAACAGTTCTATTCACTGATTCTGATGCTAAACTATGTTTTCTAGGCGGTGGAGGCGGTGGCGGCGATTTCTCTTTGCCATTCAATTCCTCACGACGATTATTTTCACTGTTTACCAGAGGCTCATCATGCTGCAGATTATTAACGTCGTTTAAAGGAACTTCCTTGAAATCATTCTTCTCTTCGTTAATTGAAATCGTAAAATTATGTTTTCTATTACTAGTAAGCAAAGTTTCTTCAGGTTGTCTCTTTTCGCTAATAATTTGAATTTCATCGTTATGTGTTTTTTTACTACCAGCTAAGTCTTCCCCAATATTTATCTTTTCGTTAATAAATGAAACTTCACCATTGTATTTCATTTCGTTCTTTGGTAATTCTTTTCCTGTTTGTTTGGTTTCTACATCAGGCGGAACTTCGTCCGATTTTTCATTATCTCTCAAAACATCTACAGGCAGTTTTTCTTGGTCGTGGACACTATTTTGAACTTCTCCATCAATCATAACTTTTCCTAAGCGGTCTTCTTTAGGTTGTTCAGCTGCAGAATATTCTAGACTATGATATTGAGGTGCGGTATGGCTTATATCGTCTGTAATTTGTATGACCGTTTCACGTTTACCATCAGGTTCATCTAATGTTTGTTCAGCAGTGTTGTTGCTGCATTTTGTGGTAGTTTTTTCCATAACAACAACAGAATTATTTTTGGAACGAGTAACTTCTCGTATCGCTGATACCGCATTGCGGTAATATTTTGTTATACCTTCTTTAACGGAATTGTTATTGTTTTTTGCTATATCATTCGGCACAACATCAACAATTATTCCAGGATAACGTGCGGTTAACGACTGCAATTCGTCTAGAAAACGGTGTTCTGACACAGTTTGATTATCTAATGTTTTTTCAAATTTTATAGTCACTTGTGCCGTCACAGGAGTTATTTCACCAAAATTTCCATTATTAATTGCGTATTCTGTTGAATTATATTCTGTAAAAAAAATAGATTATTGTTTAATTGTCTTAATTTTGTTCTATAATATACAAAAGTTATCAGAATAAATATTAAAAATTATTTTGTGGATTATAATCTCTGTAAACTTTACTAAATGTATTTTTTAATAAAATAACAATTGCAACAATCTAAGTTAAAAATAATTTTTTAATACTGCGATCTTTTTCAGCTATCCACCTAAATAGACAAAATATACACTTCTTAAACTTGTAAAAAAATACTATTCCAACCATTAATTAGTTTATGATTTTTTTTTGTATGTTGGTGATCATATATGGGTTTATCTATCAACAAATAAATGCATACGTTCACTTTCAGTATAAATATTTAGAGAAGAAAATAAAAAATGATTACGAATAATTAAACTGTCTTTTTAATCGTGGGTTTTACCACTCTAGTTATAATTAACGTTTGATACAAATCACAACAAAAATAATGATATTGTTGTAAAATACTGTACAAATAAACGAAGCATAATAATACTTAAAATAATTAGATACAACGAAAACAAAACAAGGAAGTTAATTTGCAGTTATAACTGAGTTAGTTGATTACACAATAGACATTTTGTACAAAATAATGATTGATTAATTATATTTCATTTATATTTTTTAGAGTAATTATTTAAATTCAATTAAATTTCTTATTTGTTTCGACTTCTAAAATTATATTAAAAGATTATAACAATCAAACAGACATAGAAAATACATTTTTTTTCTTAAAATAGAATTTATGTAATATAAGAAAAAAACCAAAAACTTAATATTCCTCACTGGTTCTATGAAAATCTATTTAATAAACTCAGTATTTTGGTATTAATCGAAAACTTACAAATGACAATGAATGCTCATTTATGGGAATTGAATTGTTTTAATTAATCTTATTTTAATTTATACGTCATAAAAATATAGAAAAAAAACTATTTTTAGTTAAATCTTGAGAAAAGCTGACTTTCCCACTAGGTATTTTTTGATTTTAGCTATCGATACAGCTTCGCATTATCACCAAGACCCGTCCTCAATATTAACTATAATTTAATAATACTAAATACCACATATTTTGGGAATAGGTAACGTAAGTGTATTATTTTAGGGCTTTTATTTTATATTTAACAAAAATGTGAATTTTCATGACATAAATAATTAAAGCCAATAAAGTTCTTAGTCATTGTTTTATTGAACAATAAGTTGTTAATTGTTTTGGTAATAAAAACGATAAATTTCAATGCTATTGGAAGAATTTAAAAAAAAACAATAGTAATGCAATGAACAATAAGAATACTTGCGTTACTTTATCAATTACATAAATTATTAACATAAAAGTGCGTATAAAAATGAACGCCTATTATATTAATACGTGCTATCTTTGAATTGATGCCATTTAATATTGTTGTATGTGTTTAAAATATTCTTTTATGAGTATTAAATAAAAAATTAAATATTTGTAGTTAATTAAAGAAGATTTTATTCAAGAATAGTTGCACCTTAAATTTGTATTATTATGCAGTTATTATGTAATTAAATTCATTATTTTTTTTTTGCTTAGTTGGTCGCCAGGAAGTTTTAATTACTTGAAGAATTTTACTACTACTTATCTTTTATTATAGTTATTAGGTTTTTGATTATTATTTTTAAAAAATCTGCGAGTTTATCATAAAAAAACTTTTTTACGAAAAATATTATCGATATTTAGCCATCAAGTATAATATCAATAACATATGATAATATGTTATCATCATATATATATAATATCAAAAATGTTAACCTATTAGGATATGGAAATTAAAAATTTTCCAATATTTGAAGTTAAGATACAAATACAGGATCTTTTCTCTACTTATCAAATAAGATCATTCTTAAAATGTATTGAGAATGTAAGACGTCAAACAAATAATTTACTTGAATAAAATTTACCACGTAATCAAATCTGAGAGTTTGTATCATTTATTTATCTCAAATATTTTTGCGAGTAAAATTTTATTAAATTAATAGGTTAGCAAGCATATATTTATTTCGAACAAAATGAATCATTACATCTAGGTCATATACTTATTAACTAATTTATTAATTAGTTAATAGGTGTATGTTTTAGGTAGGTGTTAAAATCTAGTTGAGAAAGTATATTGATTAATAGTTTTCTATAAGCAATTATTCATTCATATGACTACAACTCGTGGTTTACACAGCCTTTTACTAGCTTTAAACCTTATTTGAATAGCACCATTTAAGTCTGTAATAAAACATATATATTGAAGGAAAATATAATGGAATTAGTATATAAAACGCTTATAAATCTTAGAATTTTCATTATTTTTTATGCAATAACAAATTTTCTTGTTTAAGTTCACTTATTGAATCCTATTTAATTTTAAATATATTTTGATAAATTTTAATGACATTTTTATATTAATGTATAAAATTAACATTTTTTGAGTAAATGGCTATAAGAACATATTGAATTAAAAAAATAGAATATTAGGGGAGAATTTTTAACATAAATGTTTATAATTATCATTAATTTACATAAATTGAACAATCTTTCATAAACTTGAAGTTCTAACCAAACCAGTTTAATGTTTCATAAATTTAAAACAAACGGAAACTTTCATTATTAATCTCATAATTTATGTTTGGTCTCATTGTGTATTCGATTTAATGCAGAAAAATTGTAAGTAGTATTGTGGTTGAATATTGGCTATAAAATTATACTTGTTTTATACTTCGACCATTTTATCACAGTGTATAAAAAAATCGTTTACTTTATTGAGAGGAACTGCACGGTTGATTTTTAGTGTATAAATAAATTTTTCACATTTGTGCAATAGTTTAATTTTGTGCTACTTATATCCCTAATTTACATTAAATACATTAAATTTACAGAAAAATGTGAGTTATTCATTTCAAAATATAATATACCTTTTTATGTTTAGTATAATAAAGTGTTAATATTTTTTCAACATAGTCATTCTCTTGTCTATTTAATACAAAATGCGTAATAATTGGGGCGCCTGAGACAATATATTAATTAATTCACATAAAAGTGGAAGGTTTCATTACGCTTTCCCCCTGATATCAGAATTTATGATTTTCAGAGAATCATACTTTCGAGTTTTTATTGTTATTGTATAAACATTTACGATAAGGCCTTCACACTAAAAAAAATGTTCGAAAATTCACATATGAGTAATGGAAGTTTTTAACGCATACACGCACACTCTTATCTCTAAATCTTATCCCTCTTATGAAAGAACGACGTAGTTGAAAATAAGTGCTATCAAAAATTGAAAGAACTTTATTAACACATATATTTAAAACTATTTCTCACAACACTTTTAAGTGTTATGAGATCATGCGTTAAAAAAGGGAGATAAAAGTTCTATCTTTAATAAATTAAGACAATTCTTTCAAATCAATATTGTTTTTAATTGCGTTGCAATTACTCGTGAATTTAGGATAGACTGTATATTTAATAATGGTTTTATCATTCATGTAAAGAAAATATCCAAATAACGCTATAAACGCAAATTCATACAATTACTTATTTTTTATATATTCGTGTTATTAAACAGTTATACAGAAATGTGCTAATGTGATTTAAATGCAATGGAAATGTACCTTTGTTTTTCTCTGTTTTATCATTGACAGTTTCCAAAACTAGATTTTTCTCTGGTTTCCAGCAACAGGGCAGATAAAACAATGTATTTTGCCCTCGCTGCTTCCAAGCAATCATGCCGACAACGAAAAGGGCGAGCACGACAACGGCAATACAAGTCCATGTTACTGCTGTGTTATCATCACTACAACTTAATTGGTTGCCCTCTTGGGCCACTGCACATGCCAAGAGCAACAAAAAATGCAAACCAACAAAACTGTACCTCCGCATTTTTGTCCTGTAAACAAACTCTTATAATGTAGTTCTATTACTAACTCTTGTATGAACTTTCTCTCAGATAACCGGATACACTGCACGCAATGTCATGGTCAACGGTCATGTGTAGAAAGTAGATGCTGCGTGCATTTTTTAACAGTAATCACCCACGTCGTATCGTTAAATTTCGCGACAAAATTTAGATTAGACAATGAATATTAATCTCATCTATAGTGTACTTTAAGTTTTTATTTTTATCGACAGACGTGTTTTAAACGGATTTCACTACTCAAAAATTATTTATTATTTTCGAATAAAATACATACTTGTATAAGCAGACAAATCATTATATTCAAACCATTGTTTTAAATCAAATTTTGCATTATTATTATCACAGTCAACTTTTAACTGCACACGCGATATATTGCACGAGATGTTTAAGTTATAATGAAAATGATTAACAAACTTCAAGAACACTCCAACATACGGCGCTCAAGTATATGTGTACGCTAAACAAGTACTGTTGTTGGATCGTCTGTGCGGCTTTACGACTCAACAGGTGTATTCTGAAACATATCGTCCAACTGGGTGCAGCGTACAAGTTTGGTGGGGACAACCGGTTCCATATGTGCCGTTTATCTCTGGCAATATAAACAATCTATAGGTACTTGTTTGCTATTAATTACATTTTCCAAGCGGAAATTAAGTACTTGCTGTGATCGTACGTCCGTGTTTGAAATCAATGACTTATGAGAGATTTATACGTGGATTCTGAGTCATTAGAGATGCATTAGACGCGAATCAATGCGCAGAATATATTAAAATACAAGTACGAAGTAGCGTTATTTGATAAAATATCAGAAAAACTGAAAAGTATTGTCAAAGAATTCTGCTGGAATTCCTTATTATATCGATGATAATTACTGTTTAATTTTTATTATAAAAACCACACTGTGCTAATTATACACTATTTACATTCTGACACTTGGGTGTATTCAATTCTTTCATGTATATTACCGACTCGGCGTATTATTAATTTTTTCCATGTCAAATTGTATACTGATCAACGCATAGCATATTATTTTGGTGGGAGCGGTGGGTCAAAGAAAGTTCAACCTCGCCGTTTTATTTTTATTGGTATTGGAAAATAACCTTCTGTTCGAGAAACAAATTGCCTTAAAATATGTAAACATCGTGAGTCATTCGTATTTTTAATCTGTCACTTTTATGATTTTATTTTATTTTATACGATGAGATGTTCAAAATTGGGACTAAACCAAATAAACTCGGCGGTGTTGGGGTTCGATTTGGTTCCTTCGAGCTGTATACGTTTTATTTTCCTTCCCTAAAAACAAGCTTGGGAGAATATCAAAATTAAAAATAACCTGGAGTTCAATTCGAATGTTTAGCTTAAAAAATGTACACTTGAATCAAATTCTATAACTAACTTTTAGTTTGATTATTGAGTTAATAACTTTGTTTAATTCCGACTCGAGTTAATGGGAACGCGAATTCTGACTTAATTAATATTGTTCCGACTTCGTTTAGTTTGAATCAATTATTTTTTTTTTTTTCGGAATTTTTTGGACGAATATACCGTTTTTGTATACCAGACCGTGGAAATAAGATTTTGTTGTTTCATTATTCCAAGTAAAAAAATAAAACTTTTGTACCAAAATTTCTTATTATGTGTGTCAATGTTGAAAATGTGAGTTGATTTTAAAATAAACGATGCAAGATAAATATTTTAATTTTACAAATTTGTTTAGTAAATTTATCAAGAGAATAATAATATAAACAAGTAATGAATGTAAATATAGAAATTTATAAAAATTATTTTGAATAAATACTTCCAATATGATATTTTGTACTACATGAACAACGAAATCGTATACTATTACATTAAATCTGTTAATGCATAAAATGTATCTAAAATTCAAGTGGTTTTTCTACGAAAGGTAATAAATTGTTTTAACTACTGACTACTAACGTCTAATTATTCAATTACCCACGCTACTAATATAAAAAATATAGTTATTAACGGTTTTAAATATCTCGCCCGCGTTTATAATTATATTACTATTTCTCAACGAACTAATTATTCAAAATTCCTTTACACATTATTTATTAAAGTCCCGTGTTTTGTGTGACATTTGTATATTAATAGTTGTTTAATTACTCTAAAGGATTATAGTCATGTAAACTAACTGCTGTTAACTTACACAAAAACAAATAGATGACCGCTAATCTTCTTAAGTATTTTTTATTTATATAAATAAATTTTACCATTGTACGATTTTAAGGAGAAAGAAAATGATATAATTTTTCATTTGAAATATTTATCACATTGGTTTTATAATGATTTTTCTACATGTTTCATTATTAAGCAAATTTTATTTTTTTTCATACGTTCAGAAAATAACGGGAAATTTTAAATTTTGCGTGTTTGGAGAGTCTGATTATCAAATTTTTTACACATGTCTCTTAAGTATGATAAAATTATCAACTGGATTCATTTATTACTTTGTCAATGGCAGCCGCTAAGGTTAGATGTGTTTTTATGAGCTCGGTGATTTCGTTTGTTATAAAAAATGGATCAAAGGATTCGTATCAAATTTTGCGTAAAAAATGAAATAAAGCGTAACAAAGTGTGTGAAATGTTAACACAAACTATGGTGAGTCTGCCATGAGTAAAACAAGAATTTACGAATGGTATAGTGTTTTCAAGATGTTGAAGATGACGGACGCTCCAGCACATCAACAATCGGTGAAAACGTGGATAAAGTTAAAGAAATGGTTATGAATGATCGCCGAATCACAATCATAGAAGTCATTGATGATGTTGGAATATCAATTGGCTCATCATGCCATGAAACTTTTTCGAATATTTTTGGTATGAAACGCGTAGCAACAAAATTTGTTCTAAAATTGTTGAACTTCGAACAAAAACAGCAATGAATGAAAGTTGTTCAGGAGTCACTTAATGAAGTCAACGACGATGCAGAAATACTGAAACGTTTAATAACAGGTGATGAAGAGAATGAGTTCGTAGATACGGCGTCGAAACTGAGGCTCAATTATCCAAGTGAAGGCATTTTAGATCGCCAAGACCAAAAAAAGGGTCGACAAGTGTGATCGAAAGGAAAGGTTATGTTCACTGTGTTCTTCGATTTTAAAGGCGTATTGCATCATGAATTTTTGCCACGAGGTCAATCGGTCAATATGGAGTACTACCTGCAAGTTCAACGCCATTTGCGTAAAGCAATCCGAAAAAAAACATCCGGATTTGTGATAAAACAATACACGACTTTTACACCACGATAATGCACATGCTCACTCTTCATTGCTAGATCGTGAAATTTTGGCGAAAAACTATACTGTAACGATGCCCCAACCTCCATATTCACTTGTGCGTTGGCACAAGTGCATAATATCTAATGGGGACTTATTTGAAGGCGATAACATTAGTGTAGACGAAAAAATAAATATTTTTTTCAAAAAACGAAAGTTCCCGTTATTTTCTGAACACACTTTGTAAACATTTAGAGAGAACTAAGAGATTTAGCCATTCATTACCATAATAATTTATAAAATGTCTTTGAACATCTTGAAGAACATAACATATTTATGTTATGACAAATCAAATTTAGGGCATTCGATCTTTTAATTTCAATGTTTCAAAAAAATGATTGATTTTAACGAAATATATTTATGATCCATTCTTATATTGTTAAACCTATGTGATCAGTTTTACAACCTTCTATTTCCCGAACTTAATATCCAACATAAAAATGAAATATATCTAGAATATAACCAGAATATTTTAAAATATTCTCAGAATGTACTTTGGTAGCAATTATTACATTCTCACAATTTATAATTGATATATTTCTAAAATAATATAAAAAATAATTCGCTAGATGTTTTATGAATATAAATAAATGATATATTTCTCGATACTTAAGTATAAATATTATTAGATATCCAAACTTGAAAAATTAAATGATTAGTTTAATTTAATTATATTGTTCGATTTATTTAATAAAAAAATAAAGGAAACTTTTGCATATCTAGATAATATATTAATGGTGATTCACTTATGAACTTATCTATTGAATGTGTTAGTTAATTTAGGGCGTTGTCATTAGAAAAATTTAAGTTGACATTCTTATCAGGTATAAGGGATGAACATAAAAATAACTTTATGGTTGATAAATTGAGAGAAGCATTAAACTATAAGAACAACTAATAAAAAAACACATCATGGTAAAATTAATACCATCTCAGCTTCGCATCGAAGCTAAAATAATTATTATGATTTTTATTTTTCAATTAATTAAGTGGTTCATGATAAGTGAATCATTCTGTGTATAATTTAAACTTTTAAAAGAGTACTTGTTAACACTTATACCATAGATTTTTCAATAATCAATTCAGTCGCACACATGTGTGGTCTGGATTATTGTTATTTCTAACAGCCTCTAAAAAAAATGTATATTATTTGTATTAATAATTTTAATAATTTACATTAAATATGTCTTATAATA